CCCCCCCCCCCCCCCCCCCCCCCCCCTCGTCTTTGTCAAGGCGGGAATCTGTTTGTTTAGTTAGTCTTCACAGTGTGTATCAAAGCTCCTCTGTGAGGCGCTGAGCTCCCAGCTGAAGCTGTGCACGCACTATTACCCACGCCGCAAACACTATTTACTCAGGTTCCACTGCCCACCGGACTCCGGCCCCACCAGCACTACATATTTCAACCCACCGCCGAGCAGCACACCCCAGACCTGCTCACGCTCCCACACTTCTCTGGTTCTCCTCATTTAGCAGCGCTCTGCATACGCCGACTGCATGCCTAAATTTTCCCCTTTTGCTACGATCTTTACACTCCACAACGTTTTTCTGCCGGGGTTCAGTGCCTGCCTGCCTGCCTGCCTTATTGCCTCTCTGGAAGCTCAGATTTCATGGCACCTGTCTGCCTTCTTGTCTCTCTCTGTCTCAGCCTACTTCCTGCCAGCCTGGACGTTCCTTTCCCCCGCTGTTTGCCTCTCACGCTGCTCTGCCTGTGCGCCTGCCTGGCTGCAGTACCTTCCTGCCGCTTCCTGCCTGCTCGCTTTCCTCTACCAAGGGACGAAAGCCCCTAAATTGAATTGCAAACCGAGTTTGTCATAAAAGGAGTCAGGGCTTTTTGAAAAGCAACAGAAGCACAAAGAAAAAGCCTTTGTCTTTGCCGTGTGATAAATTAGGTGGCAGGTTCTGTGCCTTTTTCGCTTTGATCCCCGACTCACCAATTTTTCTTGACTAATGACAGAACCTAGCCCACGTATCATGTCAAATTACAACCACCTGAAACGGAAACTTCACTGGCATTAATATATTTATCAGAACAAATTGTTGTTGTTGTTTTTATTCCCATTCAGATTTTTTTTCCCCCACTCCTGTCTCCTCTTATCTTCTCACCGAGGCTAGCAGATTAATAACAAAGCAAGCAGGTACTAATTGAGTGGAATTCCAGGTCTCTTGTTAGTTTGCTTGTTAGTGATGAGGACACGCCACACGTCATTTGATGTTGGCGTTTACACACACAGAGATGTTTGAGGCATTGTGCAGTTTGCTGAACTGGGGCCTGAAATTTTGATGAATGCTGAGTGATTCTCTGCCTGTGCAGAGCTGCCGCATGTTGTTCCTGAGCTATTAAAATCAGTACCCGTTTCTCTCTAATTCTCACTGTAACACAGGCTACTTAACACTCAGGCTTTATTCAGAGTGAAACCCGAGCCCCGAGACCTATGAAGTAATGATTATCCTTACTTTCAAAGGCCCAGCATCACTTTGTATGAATATATAAAACATAAAATGGATTAAATGCTAAAGGCCACAGGCAATTTTTATATACATTTAAAGTCCAGCTCTGACAAAACAAAGCGCTCTGATGTTCATTAAAGAAACCTTTCGAGATCCATCTAATTATGGCAGTGCAGGGTGTGAGCACATGTGGACTTCATTATCAGGCTGGGCTGACCACTGGCCGTGCTTTTAGCGGGGTCAGAGTTCACAGTTGTCCTGAATTAGCCACCCTCTTTCAGACAGGACCCCTACTCAAGCCTCACAAGGGCCCGCCCCTTAACAGTCTTTTCCCACAATTTCACACATAATATTTCAGATTTATTGACTATTACAAATACTACCAAGCCAGTAGCACTTCCGCTGAGCAAAAAAGGGAAAGATCTAAATAAGAATGTAATTGGTAGCGGGTTAAAAAAGGACGTCTTCAGAGAGCAGCTTGTTATAATAATTTTTGTTTTTAAAATGGAAACGTCACAGGAATCAAAGGTCACACAGTAATTTTGTTTTTCTATCAAGGTGTTCTATTAAATACATTTTTTAACTGAAAATATACGAACGGCATTACAGCCTTTAGATTAGCGTTCGCCTCCAAATATTTATTTATAAGTCACACAGTATTGATTCAAGATCATTCTAAGTGCGTAATTTTTATTTAGCATAATTGTCCGTTTTTATATGAAAAGCAGTGCAGATCATGGAACTCGCCCTTTTTTTCATTGTTAATTTAACAGTCATTTTCTTTCAATTTTGCACACTATATTTAAGCAGGATTTTGTCAATCTGAGGGTTGGTAGATTTGAAGTAAAAGTTTCAACAGTTTCCCAGATTGATATTGAGTTCGAAGAGACTTTGCTTTTGTCAATAAAATCAGTGTGTTGACAAGCACACTGAGAGGAAATACTCAATAAAAAAAATTGCCGTTTTCCCCAGAAAGTTTAAGGTATTTTTGTTTGTTCTTGTGAGATTCCACATTTCTTCTTCCAAAAACAGATAAAGTGGTGATAAAGTTATAATTGACTTTTGGTTATGGAGGTTGTTTACCTCTTCCTAGTCATTAAAAGTATCCAAGAATAGAAAATTAGGAGTCTGTTAATTCTGGAAAAACAAACAAGTGTGTGACTGAACCTGATTTTTATGTGATCCTGGCTATTGATCTCCAACCAATGACGGATTTCTTTTTTCATGTATTATTCTTTCTGTGCCACACATTCAAGGTGAGGTGCTACAATGCAGCTCACATCTTTATTTTCAGATGCTCTCTCTCACATCACAGCCTAATTCCTTCTATTCTCCTCCTCTCTGCCTCTCGCCTCTTTGCTGACACCGTGTACCCATACTCTCCAAGCCCTCGTACATTTGATCATTTGTATTCCCAATCAAGGGGGGAATTTACAGCGTACACTCCTACTTCCTGTATTTCATGCCTGCATTCGGAGGTTTACAAATGAATGAGGGGGTTGAGATTGTGTCTGCGTGCCTCTCCTGAGATCACCTGGCAACCTTAATCAAACATCGCCGCTTTAATTTGGCGCTCACTTCCCGGGGAGCAACGTCTCCACGATCATTTACAACAGAGTACAGCAGGCAGCGCATGAGACACACCTACACCGCCACGGAATGTTCATCAGCAGCATTCACATTTCAGGAGGAAACTTTTTGCTACTCACAGATTTCATGGCTCGTCCACCAGATCCCCTCGTATTTTCACTTAGGATGAAGCAAAGTGTGTCTTTTTTTTTACTCGTGTCTTGACAGCATAGCGGAGCCACCTACTGTAAAGCTGCCCGCATGCTCCACTGACTACATCGTAGCTTTACTGCTGGGAATGTAGTTGCTCCACCTTAGTTACATACTGTACCAGAAACAGTCGGCACCGTATAATAGCCATAGAAAAGAATCCATAGAACGATTCCGATTAAGTTCCTGCTGTTTGTTGCCTGTGTTTTCCCAACAACAGCCGTCGGCTCCTGCTCATTTTAAACTTTGTTTTACGGGTCGTGATTGTTTTAAATGGCGCTGAACTGTGCGCACACTCTCGCTGCGTTTGTTCGCAGCCCTTCATTTACTCATGTGGAGTTTAAAAGCTGCACTTCATTTTCACATAGTTGTTCTGCCGGCAGTTCACTCCGGATTAGAAGTCAAAAAGGGAGAGCAGCAACACCCACTGCGATAGTTATTGAAGCGAAAGATGACATTTAGCTATAGTTAATTATGTATGCAAAACTCAGCCGCTCAGCTGCTATAAGAGGTCAGCTTGACAAAGTAACCCCACACCGGGGAGAATCTCAGCCCTATTAAAACACACACACATACATGCACATGCACTTTTTCCCTCTCCTTTCTCCTCTCTATTTCATTTCACCTGACAAATGCACTGCAATGCATGTATTTAACAACACGCTGACAATGATTTACTTTTTTTGTGCTTAATAATTTATCTTTTAGCTGTTTTTGTGTTTTTTAATTTGATTTTTACGCATGTTCTTCTTTCACTCCCCTTGCCATTTGAATTTTGAATTGAGTCATTTTTCACTATCACACCTCAGGCCAGTATTGAATTCACCGCATCCCACGTTTTTAAGTCAAACTTCCGATTATTGTGCATTTTTACGGATGGAATTTAAAAAAAAAAGTAAATTCAAAATGAAAATTATGATATCTAAGATTTATTTTTAGTTGAATGAATGAATTTCGTAATTCAAAGTCCCATCCTTTTTGTGTGCGTTCCCTTGCAAGAGCATACCGCCTGTCTGTTCTGTCTTTGTTCTGACTTGTGTGTATGTGTGCGTTAGTGCGTGTGCCGTGTGTGTACAGTTCAGACTGCAGCACATCAAAAGAAAGTGGGAGATTTTCATAACTATTTTTTTTCTTTGTAGTTCTTTAATTGCGTCCCCATGGCTTTCTTTCCCTGGACAGCATCTTAAACAAAACACTCTTTTTGTGAGGAGAGAACTCAACTTTTTATTCATTTTTTCTAAACAACAGAGAAGTGTTGAGGTCATTATTTGGGGTTTGCTTGTTGTAATGAAATTTTTGTGTCGATTCAAAATACATAGCCTGGGTTTCTGTGTAATTTTTCCCTTTGATTTATTGCTCTTCTTAATGCATTTTGTTGTGAATGTCAAATTTCCAATCTGGCTGTTTTATTTTCTATTTTTTGTTGTTAATAATTAAAGTTCATGGTTTATGCAGTGACTATGTTTTATATTTCTGATCTGACTCCATGATCACCTTTTAGTCATGTTACTCGTGTTCATGGACACATAATGAAGGGCTGATTAGGATTTTTTTGCAGGATACCAATTTGGGTTTTACTGAGGCATTGATTCTAATTTTCTGCTTTTCTTTGAAGTGTAATTGACTGCACACTTTGATGGAAAATGCTATTATATATTCAGAAAACACTGAAAAAAACTACTCCCCCATCTATATTTGACATAATGCATCAAGTTAGTGAGCAGATCGTTTCTACACAAATAAAATATCTCAATAAATAAATTGTTGTCTAACCAACCTGAGGTGCAAACTACTCATACTACATATCAGGTGGTGATGAGATTACATTAAATGTTCTGCATACTAATCATCACAAGCATGGGACTGGAACAAGTGAATAGTTACAATCAATCAAGATAAAAAACAAAAAACTTTTATTCACCTCCCTGCCATTAGATGCAAGTTGATCAAACTAGTTTAATTTTGTGAGTTTGCAAACAGACTCGAGCAATGGTCTTTTTTTCTTTGTTTTGAAAAAGGACTGGAGGATTTATTGATTTTGATTATTGATTGTCACTGCGATATTTGCGGGATGCTTGCTGTCAAGCAGAATAACTGAAGTACGTCATGCTGCAGTTTAATTGCCACATGATAGGAGATGGGCTGAATGGCTCTGAGCTTCCATGTTTTATCTAAAAAAAGAGTAGAAGTTTTCTGATCGTAAACATTTTTCTGTTTAAGGGGTTCGAGTTCACTGAATTGTTTTTCTATATCTTTGCCAACCATAGACTTTTTTGGTAGGTAGAGATTTACAGACCTCACGTGCATGCTGTTAGATAACCAGTGAACAGGGAATAAACAGAAAAGGGGATGAAATGGTTGCAATAGAGAGACGTCTTGGCTGTGTGAACATGTCTTGGCAATAGAAAAGTGGATTTTAATCAACACCAGGTGTTTTGTTGGAAATGCACTAAATGCCTCCTTGCACCATGTTGCAACACTGTTAAGTAATTTCATTTATGTTTTAAATTAGTAACTCTAGGGGCATTTCCAAAAGTAGATCTGATTGCTTTTCACAACAAAATAATCTATGATGATGTGTTAGGTCACTGTCTGTGTCCTGGATAGATTAGAATGGTATAAAGTACGAAATCTCTTAATTATTTTTTTATACCCTGTTTATTGCACTATAACAGAATCGCCCTGATGGATCTTCTTAAAGTCAGTCCTTTATTTTGTCTCTTTAGACTACCATGATATTTGGAGAAATATTGAAATAGAGCCTTTCTTTGAAAAAATAATCTCGATCAGTATTTCCACAAAGTGGAATTATGATATTCTGTTGTCACATATGTGGGTGTATGATGTGGGTTGGGATCCCTGATGGATGTTGGTGTCTATGTGAAGGTAGTGAGACCCCATATGTGCATAGACACTCACAGCCGCACTCACATTTCAACGCAGATGCCTGGTGTCACCTACAGTGGTATTATCCCTTACAGTCAGACAGGGATCATCATTGCACCTGCTAATTACCATCTCCAGCTGGAGAGTTAAATGGAGATCTGTTCTATGTCTGACCTTTGACCCCATGCTCTTTATGTGACGCACTTCAAACCCTGTTTGGGGCTGTCTGGGCTGGGCCTTAATGAGGCCCCATGTCTGCCCTCTGTGGGCTGTGCGCCTCGGATGCCCCGCTTTCATCCCCGACCATCTTCCCTTGATGTAAATTGAAAAGATCACAGCTATGGGGAGAAGACCTGTACTGGAAAGGCCTCTCTGCATAGATTATGAATATCATAACTCAACAGTTTTTTTTTTTTTTTGCTGCCTTTTCCTCAACACCCACTCCCCTCTCTCCTCCAACTACCCCATCCCTGTACAATGCTATAGTTCTAATTGGACCCAATGGGGGAGTCTCTTCCTTTGATCTCATCACCGCCACTGTGACTTTACACTAAAAAATGTCACTGCCAAATAGGGTTATCACCTGTAGAGTCTGGCCTTCCTCTGATGCCTGTATGAATCTCGTTAGCTTCACTCAGATTGTAGAAGTTAATTAGTTTGACAGAGCCATTACCGCAGAGGCATACCTGATGATTGTGGTGTAGGCGCCATATTCAAAATCCAATTACTAAATACACGTTTATTTTTTTGTCAGGAAGGTGGGGCGCTGCACCGTGGCATGTGCTTTGATTTCTATTATCAGCAGTCATGTTCGTTCACACACGCTATGACCAAAAGGATTTGATTTTGTATAATTGACGATTTAATTCATCCTTCATGCGAATAAGGACCTTTTTTCCCTGCTTCTTTATCCTACTTCTGAATAAACAGGAAACTTTGAACTCGTTGCTTTCTTGCCCATTTCTGTAACACCAGCAAGCAAAAACACAAGTGATTGTGTCCCAGTCTCATTAAAAAGTGTTTGCCACTGGAGCGCTCTCACCCGTTCAGATCTGCTGTACAGAACTCTACAGTGTGCAGAGTAAACTCTGCTATCCCCTCTCTCTGACAGTCTTTGGGGTATGCCTCCCCCTCTTAGAATGACAGTGTGTTCGCTTTGATTTCCCAACCCCAAAAAAGACAGTTTAATGATTTGCAAGAAAGAAAAAAAAAAAGATCTGCAAAAAAATGCACAGAAACATGAAATATTAATTCCAGAAAGGGCTTTACATAAACATAAAAGCATTTAGTACAATGAGTGAATATGGAGATGACACTTGTTAATTTAACCGTGATAAACTTTCTGTTTGATGCCTGGGAGCATTGGCGATGGCAGCGCGGGGACGTTGTGGAGAGTGAGAGAGCCCAGGGGAGAGGAATCAACACTGTTCGTTTTGTCTCTGTCCCAGTTTAAAACTGCCACTCTCTGTGTCTTCCTTTTCCCTCTTTGTCTCCCAGCCTCTGTGTTCCTCCCAGCCTGTCCCCTATATGTGCTGCTCTCACATTTAGCTTCTCCTCCCCTCCAGCCTTCCAGTCAGGCTAATTGCAGATCCCTGACTGTGATCCGGGCCCAGCACTCTGCAGCTTCACTGCACGATACATGTGGCCACCTTGGATGGAAATGGACCTCGTCCAAATTTTTTCACACTGCAGAAGATTTAGAGCAATTTCTGACTTCAATTTCATTAATGTTTTTTTTTTCTTAGCTGCCATCATCTGCATCTTTGTATTTCTGGTATCAAATGTTACCTTGATTTAGACATTTTTCCCCTTTTATTTAAAGAGAGATTCCATGTTTGTTGTACTATTTCTTACTTCTAGTTTACTTAGAATATATATATATATATACCTACATCATACTTCATGCACTGAGGAAAATATATTTAAATTAAGATAAAATAGTAAAGGATTCCAAAATGAAGCGTAGCAGCTGACCGATTTTCAGAGAACCTTTTTCAGCTAAACTGCCTCTCTTAAAAGGCCGGTCGCTGTCCTCTGTTCAGCCACCGGTCCACTGCATTACAGTAATCTCAACCTCCTGCACAAGCCAATCAAATGTTGTGCTTTTGTGAGAGGCTCCCACAGCCCACACAGAGAGAGCGACAGTCCCTCTCAACATGACATCACTACTGTATCTCTGCCTCCTCCTCACGCTGCCACAACACAGTCAGGCCACTGCTGAGCAGGTGAGGAGAGCCTCTTGACAACTTCCTTCCCCAGACTCCCCAGGGCCCGGTGTCCAGGGCGAATCTTTTGTCATCCTGAAACAAGCCAGGGCCTGCTGCTCCTCCACTCTCGCCTGGAGTCCTGGAGACGGAGCCAGGAGAGGGGGGAAATAATTAAAGACGTTTTATGTCAAGAATCCCTTTTCTGGAGGGAGTCCGGGAGAGCCAAGAGAGGAGGGGAGAACAGCAGGACAGGATAGGAGAAAGGGAGAGTAAGACATGGAAGCTGAAATGGGAAAGAAAGAGGGTGATGGCGGGAGGAGGGAGAATAGTGAGAGGAAGAGCAAAGACGCGAGTTTCCATTTTCTCTTCTCGGCCCCCCTCCTTCCCATCACCCCCATGCGCTGCTCAATTAGCAAAGCAGCAGGTGCTCCCAGCAGCACAACAGATAAGCTCGCAGCAAAGGCTGGAGCCTTTTCTCCTTCTTTTCTTTCCTTTTTTGAGATGACCTGCAAATGTGATACTTCACACCCAGAATGGACTAGCTATTTCCTCCACCAATTTCAGAGGTGATAATTTAACTTTTACCCCTCTGTGTCTCCCTCCCTTTCCCACCCCCTACCTCTCCCTCCATCCCTTTCTCCTCCACATTCTCCATGTGCATTTTCCACCAGGTTTCCTCTCTGAAGAGCAAGCTGAAGAAGCAGTCCACAGCAACAGGAAGCGGTGTGGCCAGGGCTTTCCTGAGAGCGCAGGCCGCTCTGTTTGGATCCTACCGAGACGCCCTCAGATATAAGCCTGTAAGGATCCGGTGTCGTTAATAGCTATAAAGCATCAGGGCGGGGTTATTGTATTATGGACAATACTTTGAAATCGCCCTGTCAAACATTTTCATCCTCACTGTGCAAAACTGTTGTTGGATTCTTGTCAATATTAGCTTCTTACCAAGTATATTAAAATCTTATTCATGTCCAATAAAGAAACAAAGAAGAAACGAAAAAGTAAATAGTCATACGAATAGTTTGTGTAAATTTGCTAAAGTAAAAAACAGTGGACACTGGGCAGCATCATTTATGTTCCAATTGAGAAAAATGTAGCCAGTTTGGGTGAATTATATTGGGCTTCCTGTTATATTAAAACCATTAATAGCCTGTGATGAAAACAGAAAATACAAATGTATTTTCTAAGTCACAATCAATTATGAGTATATTTATTTGCTTATAAGCAACAAGAATACCTATATTAAATCATGTTTCTAAGCATGTGTGTGTTAAAATCCTCAGTCAGGGGGAATTATAGACACGAGAAGAACTAATTTTCTCTTCACAACATTTGGTGCATCTTTGTAATCTCTTTTGAATCAAGTAAAACGTGACATGTGTCTGTTTGAAATGGGCCAGTTTTGGATTGGGGTCTCAGAGCTAACCGAGCTAAGGTGGGCCTGTCTGAGGCAGTCAGATGTCAGAAGGGCTAGAAGAGTCAGGACGTTGCCTTTGAAGACCTCTTTGAGCCACCTTTGGTGTTTAACTCTCCTTTACTGAGCCTCCCCCCAACATTTCATTTCTAGATCTGCTCTGCTTATCAAGTCTAAGTCAGGCAAGAGCAAACTACACCATGTCCTGTTTGTCAAATAGCAAAGCCTTTGTTCCTCTGGCTTTGAGATTAATTGGACTTTGTGGACTCCTGGAGTCAAGATGCTACATTATTGATGCTGCCTCTCTTTTCTCTGTATACAGACAGTATATGAACAAACTGCCTCCCCTCTGACACAAACGCTGAGATGCGGTATGTTTGTATTTCAACACAACAAGCCGTAATTCGGCAGTTCACTCGTGCTCACAGTGGTTTGCATAAAAGCCATGGACTGAGCATACAAGCTAATACATAAACGGCACCTCTGGTTTAATGAAAATACTGAGGAGATCCCTTGTTCTAATATTTTTCAAAGATCACTTTACTATTCACTTTTCTAAGCTGTAAAAAAAGATGTTCTGAGACTGAACTGAGCTGTGTGGTTCACAGATCCATATGCCTCAATAGAAAGGGGGGGGGGGGGGGGGTATCCATAGTGGGAGTCTTGTTGGGTTTTAAATTAAACAAAACTGAAAAAGATAATGAGTTGAAAAGCTATCAGCTGATTATACAGGGATTTCTTAGGTCATCAGTTTCGCTTTACACTGATGCCCCCCCTCCATTTTTGATGGAGAAACCTGAAATAGTTATTCACATACATTTTTAGGACCACTCAAAAGCTGACTTGGGTAAGTGGGTGTGCATATTTCAAAGCTCTGCACTGTTAAGGGGCAGAATTGGCTAAAACTAAATTGGCTTAAACTAAACTAGGCTTGATGCCAGTTCAGATCATCCTGCAAAATGTGGCAATGCTGCGTGAGGGTGGTCTGGGTGTTATCACATATTTCAGAGTGATAAAGACAATTTTAGTCTCAAAACTCATTCATGCGCACATTATCTACAGGAATATTCAGTTTGTTGAAATCATTTTCTGAAGTTGTAATGAGGTTGGGAAAAAAGGATATCGCAGGTCATTTTCACCTAAAACAAAAAAAGAGTTATTCCAACAGGACATTCACACAAAAAACACATTTATTCCAGATATAATTAATGTCAATCACAGGTTAAATTCACCATTTGTTAGAGAAGAACTAGAGGAAACATTTGTAAAAGAAAAAAAACACTTTGTCGACATCATAAGAGGTCTCCCATCTGGTGTAGGGCTAGTTTGATCTCATTTAATTGTTCATTGTTGTTTTTAGTTTGTTTTAAATTGGAAATAATTTACATTAAAGACATAAAAAAAAAACATTTCCATACCTAAAACCAGATTGGTCATAAGAGTTAATGTTGTTAGAATAAGGGTGTGATCACATTCTTAGTGTTGACTATTAAATGTGGATGAATATTTAATTTCACCACAGAAGGGATTGTAGCACCCAGGGTTTGGTCAAGAAGCAGAGCAGCTTAATCATTTTATATCTGCTCAAGGGCAGAGTTAGCCTTTTAGAAAAAGCAGTCTAAGGCTTATGCCGTGCAAAACAAAAGACAGTTTGGCTTCTGTTGTGAATAGTAACCTTACTTTTTATGCAATATGCCTTTTTTGTTGTTGTCGTCATATCTTATGCATTCCATCATTGTTGTTAGGCCCTTCTCACACTTGAAAGCGTTTTGGGATGATCCCTCAGCTGTCATCTAGCACATGTCTGTCAATCAAAAAAAAAAAGTACTACTAAGATACTAAGTTTTTGACAGCTTTTATTTTAATAGCATTAAGCTGTGTAAGACGTGGAGGCCAATGTTTCCAACATAAACCACGTAACGCTTTCAACTCGACTTTCAAAAGTGAACAGGCCCTTAAAACTTTTAGTGATATAAGTGGAGCTGTATATTCCTGTGATGTAATTTGGGCCACTGGAATCATCCGCCCATCCCTAAAAACGAGGTTAGTCTCCACTGTTGTTAAGTTGTTTTTGTGTGCCACACGCTGCTCGTAGCCTTGAAAAGACAAAGCACATTGTTTTACTTCAGAGGAATGTGGAGCATCGTTGAAATATGTGAGATTTATGTTAATTATGAAAAAACATGAATTGGAAATAACCGGAGGGCAGAGTGTGATTGGCCTGGAGTGGTTCTGTTGTCACCCATCGTGTCTATAGCTCACAGGCCAACAGACATGATGTAAGAAATGGTAATAATGAGATAATGTGCTCATCTGGAGGACTGGGAAGTTTACTGGGACAGTGTCGTTTGGGCCAGGGTAGATGATGCGTACGCTGCCAGAGGAGCTGGTTTTAAAGGAGACTTTTATTTCTTTTAGACTTATACTCTCCTTCCCTCATCCTCTTTCCATCCTGCCTCACTTTTAGACTAGTTTCCCGTTAGTTTTTTCTCTCACTAATGAGGAAATCAGTTGAAATACTTTGAAATAGTTCACTACATTTCATACACACAATCCACATTATGTGAAGCTAAGAATCCTATTACAAACCGTCTGTTTAGTTTATGACCTCTGCCTTTGAAGACTCCCAACACATCTGATCCTTTTCTCTGTAGCTCATTTCTGGGCTAAGTACACCTGACGAGAAGCAGGTCCGTAAGAACAGGAAATGAGAGGGAATGAATTAGAATTAATTGTCTGTTTTAATTCGTGCCAATGTTGTCTCGGTGGATTTCACAGGGAGAGCCAATCACCTTCTGTGAAGAGAGCTTTGTGAACCATCGCTCAAGCACCATGAAGAACTTCCTGTCCATGGCTGTCAACCTGCAGCTCTTTAAACAGGTACAAACAGCTGTGTGTGGATGTGTGTGTGTTTATCCAGAACTAACTACCGCTGCTTCCCACTGTAGCTAATAAGATTTCTGTATCTAGATAGAGTTATCGAGTGTGTATTTTGTGTTTTAATATTGTGTACATTACAGTAAAGCACATAAAGTGTTCTGTGCTGCAAACCAGTGTCAAACACAAAACAAAAAGACAGCAATTTCCCTTCTGTATCAACCCATGTTTAAGGTTTTGCGTCCTTAAAAGTCGATTTTGCTTTCAGAAAGTGATAATTGTTGCAGATGGAAGTTGTCTGTCAGCTCCTCTTATTGTCAGCAAACTGTCAGCTGGTCAGAGTGAGCATTTAGTATCTTGACAGTTAAGTTTCTCAGAGTGAGGAGGAATGTGGAAGAGTGAAGCCTGGGATTAGGAACGGTTACTGACCCCTTACAAACTGTTTACTGTTGCTATCTCTGAGCGCACATCTTAATGTTTCTCTGTTTGCTCAATTTTATCCACAGTACAAACAAAACCACGATAAGTCAGGCCTGTTGAAAGTACACTGACTGTATAACACCATGTTGGGTTTGTACTCTGCTCTCAACGAGTCTGAAAGAAGAAAAAAATCAGGCCAGTTTTCATCTAGCTCCTCAGAAAGTTGCCACTAATAGATGTTGTCAACTCCACTGTGGTGATATGTTTATTCATGTGTGTTTTTTAGGCTGGGAGCAGGTATCCTTTATTTGTGTATAGTTTTACTTTTAAAGAAAGAAAAAAAAAAAGCTCATGTTTACTTAATACATTTCACCCCCCAGATCCCTGCAGTAATTCTAAACTTAGTGGAGTCAGAGCCGAGAGGAAAGACACCTCTGGCTCTGAAGAAAAATTTCTCTCGCCCTTTTCTTCGACTCTCCCTCACCCTTTGTGCTCTCTGACCCATGATAGTAGTGTGATTTACCCCTGAGAGTACAGCACAGCGGCCTTCAATCAGCCTTTTGTTTCTCTGGACACCCTGTTCATAATTTTCCCAGGCAGAGCAGATAGTGAGCAGCGGTTCAAAGCGTCCTCCCGGCTGGCTCCCGCCTCAGCAGTAGCATTGGGAAATAGGCCCTTATCTCCTCATCCTCTCCAGCACAGGGGATGGGTTGAGCTTATCTGCTCCACTCCTCTCTGCACTAAAGTGAGATGGGCCAGTGGTTCGCCTGAGCGCTGCTCCGGCCATGACCCACATTCACTCACAAACATGCAAGGACCACTCGATTGACTTGACCACACACACAAGCACATTTATTTTTACATGGATAGGAATGCTTTCTGGGAATATAGATACCCTAAATCCTTTTATATCAACGCTTGTTCTATTTCAAGCCTCAATACATGATTATCTTTATTCTGTTTACAGACATGATCATATTTTGTATAATATATTGATTAGTTATTTATGAAGACTTTTGTGGCCCAAGTAAAACAAATTTATTGCATTTAATATAAATTTCTATATGGATATGCAGGGATAACAATCCTTATTTTAAACATGTATTTAACTGAATATTAGTGTTTATTTGTTTTCCCTTTTGCCTAGCTGAAGTGAAAGGCTTTTGCTTTTTTATCCAGCTGTGATTCCAGGCTGATTATTGCGTACCTGCAGATTAACTCGCTCAGTTGTCACGCTGTATTGTCCTTAGTGCTCAGCCATCAGCCATGAGTGATATTTTCATAATTCAAGGAGCTGTTAATGCAAATCAGCAGCACACTGAGATTAATTTTGAGTGCTAAATTGTCCAGTGAGCTGAAAAACTTTTAAATCTTAGGCCAATTTATTAGTGTTACATTTTTTTGGGATGAATATCTACATATTTATTGAAATTTTAACATGGCTGATAAGTCAACTCCTTTTTCAGTCAACTTATTTTTAGTGCTTACATGAATTACCTATGTGCCGTATATCATGTTCACAAAGCTCGAATCTAAACACCCATTTTAGTATTGTGTTTTGATAACCATAAGCAGAGAGTGATAAATGATCTACTTTATTCCTTTAAACAGTGTTTAAAACCAAGCATAGATGTCAGCTGCCGTTTCACATGCATTTAGCTCTACACTCAGCCCAGCAGCCCATCCCTGTTCAACAGAACAAGTGGGAGAAATCTTCCAAAGGAATGCGGGGGAACATCTGTCAACATTAACCTGCTTCCTATCACCCATCCTCAGCTCCTACACTCTCTCGGACTCAAAAGCACATTTGCGTTGTCATGTGTATATTATGTGAGCAGAGAAAGAGTAAATTAACTCTCTTCTTTTAGGGGAGCTCGTACTCACACGATTTACAGCCAGAGGTCCTCCAAATGTGATAAATACATGTAAAAAAAAAACATATGTACATATTCTACACACACATACATATATGTGCATTGTTGGTTATGGTTGGTGAGTGCTAGCTCCAGAAAAAAAGGCTCTCGATGAACATTATTAATTTTGATTTCGTGATTAATGCTATGCCGTGTCTCACGTCACATCAAACAGTTGTGATGATCGTCGCTTGCTAATCAGTCTATCCTTCCTTGGCCAAATTAGGATTTACATGCTGTGGTAACTGATTAAGATCATGGCAAAGTGGGCTGGAATTCAATAAACCGGGAAATACTTGAGCTCCATTAAGGCTCCCTTTAGAGATTTCGTTGTAAATTTTCAGCTCCTCAACTCCAAACCTGAAATGATTCCAGACCTGTGAATGAGTCAGCATGCCGGTACACTAATTGAGTAAATCGTCTATTTTTATTTACGGAAACAGCAACAGGAAACAAGATGGCATATAGACATGAAGGGAATGAACAGAATCCATCTCCCAAGCGTTGAGTTCTGTGTGCCTGAATAGATGCATGCTTTAGCTTGACTAGACTCGTATGTTTGGCTTGAGTCTCTTGCTTAAAGTCATCAACAGTCAAAGTAAAAATTAATCATTAAAAAAATTACATGACAGATTGTTCGAAATCTAAAGGATTTTTGATGATCGTGGCTTTGTTATGATCTGATTTCGTTTAGGGAAAATATCCCTCAAAGCAAAGAAAATTAGCCCTTGTCTTTTGTTCGTTTGCCCTGGATGTTTCCATGTACACACACATGTATTATGGTGAGCCTTTTTATGCACGTATGTGATCACAATCTGCTATTGTTGAGTAATGTCTAATTAAGGCCCACAGTGAGGCACATAATCTGGCTTGGGTTTGAGTCGGGGTGGGGGTAGTGGATGGAAGCGGAGGCTTGGGTTAGGCGATGATTTGGGTTGATTATCTCTGCTAATTGGGCCAGCCATGTAGCAGAGCCGTAGATGGAACCTGCAGTCTCACCTCTCATTAAAATGATCTAATGATGAGCTTCCAGCTCTCCTGACCAGAGGAGCGGGTGGCCGTGTCGGTCGCTAGTTAGCAGGCTGTCCCCGAGGACATGCACCCAAGAACAGGCTGCACTACTGTTGCACTGTCAGGGGGGAGTGACTATGTTACAGTTAAAGATAAATAAAAATAATCAGACGGCATGTTGGTGCCAAGTTTTTGTCTTTAAAACCAAAGCCCATATTTTCTTTTTAAAAGGTTGGAGGCCCTGATCTCTAATTATTTGAATTATCAGTCTTAAAAAATCAGGATCAAATCCAGACGATTTAAATGTGTTAGTAATATAGTTGGATTCTTACCTGCTAGGTAGAGGACAGGAAACTCCGCAGTTTGAGTTCAATGTGTCTAGATCCACTTGAAGAAAGCAAGTTGAATTTGAATGTCTTCACACTCCATCCTTCAGTAATATTATTTATTTATTCATTTATCCTCCCTGAAAACACAAGATGGCCAAAAGACAATACAGTGTTTGCACAACTTAGAGTATAAACTGCTCTGAATGAGGCTCTGGAGCTCTTAGGATAGGTCCGAATGCAACAAAAAAGCTTTTGGTGTGTTTGTAACTATTGAGCGTACTCACCGACTTTTCCCCCTAATATCTTATTTAGAATGCAGCTGGTTTACACTCTTGATCCTCGCTGTTGAGTCATGTGTTTGTGTTTGCCTAAGCTTCCATAAGTTTTTTCTTTTCTTTTTTCCATAACGTGCTTTTGTTACTCTGCTCTTGACAAGTGTGGCTGTTGAGTCTGTATTTATGAGATGGAGTTTTATGCACTCCATGTTACAAAGGGAGGAAATGAAACTTCCTCATGTCTCAGACAGTGGGCAGCATGTAGTCTGCCGCTCTAATCCCTCACCTGCTCCACATTAACAAATCCCTATTACCTGCAAGTCCACCTAATCTTGGGATGTAGTTTCCGTCAGGTAGGATTAATAACACCCCTCCGCGGCTGGAGTGTTTGAATCTGTGCATATGTGTGTGCATCTGTGTGAGCGTGCCCACACCCCCGCCTCCAGTCTTTAATAAGCAAGTTGTAATTTATGGTCGCAGTTCATCGACGGACGGCTGGCCAAATTGAACGCAGGCCGCGGCTTCACCGACGCGTTTGAAGAAGAAATCACAGAGGGGGGCTTCTGTGGAAGTGAGTAGTGCTAGACGTGTCTATCAATTAGTTGCATTGTATTTATTTTCAATGTTTTATGCAGCCCATCGATGCGTTTGCGGGAACCTATAAATTTGTTGTTTTAAAGCCTTCCCAATGGCTCAAAGACTTTTTCACAAATCTGTAAAAGAGTAAACGGCAAAAACCTTAAATCAGTGAAAATGTTTTTACATTTCTAAAGCTGTTTGGGGATCTTGAGAACATTTTAGTATATGTAAATATTAAAATGTGTGCAGTGTCTGACTATGTCAGTGTAAAGTGCTAAACCTGTCCAGTTATGCTGATTAGTATTCATCAATGTCTGACCTGCCTGCTTGAGTTCACAAATGTTACTTCACCATCACAATTTAGTGACTGGGTTTGGCAAAGAAAAAAAAAGACCGAAAGCTTTGTAGTGACTGAACTTCCTGTGAACACAACAGCAGATTTAAGGCCCCATTTTACCCCGTCTTCCAACATTATTTCACATTTATGATAAGGTCTGACTCTTTCTGGGATGGGGAGGGAGGGGGTAGGGCTCTCTGGCCTGTGATAGAATACAATTATCACATAATTAACAAAAAAAAAAACTGTTTAAGAGATTTGATGTAACAGGTTAAGCCAACACTTAGAAAATTCACTGTTTTTGTCAATTTGTCTAATCAAAATATTAAAAAGACAAAAAAAAATAGTTAGGATGTCTTGCACTGTGTCCACATAGTTACTTTCACTCTATCAGGATAACATTAGTAGCTCTTTAGGGCAGAATTATTTATTAATTTCTCCCTTCTCTCTTCTCTTCAGGTAATTCAAAGTCCTACCAGCAATGGATGCACACTGTGAAGGTATTTATGGAATGTCAGGTGTATCGTACCTTTAAACTTTTATTGGAAGGTGTTTTTTTGTTTTCGCTTCATAGTCATTATTCCTGAATCATATTTAATTGATGGAGTGATTGACACAGCTTGGTGTTTGAAGTCTTGGCGTTGCCTTTGGATTGAAGGGGATGTACAGATCCAGTTTGAGTGGAGTGTGCTCCATAAGAATGTGTAGCGGTGCATGCAGTAGGACAGTGGATACAGACAGGGAGGAAGACAGAAGTGATTTGACGTGACAAGAAGTCCTCCGACATGACATGTTGATCTGGCAGCAAACACAAGCGTTACTCCGCTGAACCAACTCAAGAACACACATGCCTCCTCTTCCTTCATCTCATTCTGTCTTTTCCCCCCTATCCTATCCTTTCCCATCCCTTTCCTTATATCTCCCCCTCTTTTCATCTCTGTCACACCCCCATCCTTGCTTCCCATCCCTCTCCCCCTTTCGCTCTCCCTCACCCTCTCCTATCTCCCCAGGCCGTCAGCTAAGGCTGAATTAGTTCTCTAGAGTGCTCTTCAAAGGTTTGTTAAAGTTCACACTTCCTGACTGACAGGGATCTATAAGAGAGGCCTTCACCTCGGCCCCACTCCTCCCCTCTCACTGCCAACTTCTGAAATGCTGTCTGCCATTTACTCTGTTTAGCCGTTTAGCCGACGCTTTGTGCTTACACTAAAGACCAAACAGAGCAACGGCGAAGGAGGGAAGCGGCATCTCTGAGAGAGAAAAGAAGAAAGGCAGAGAGAGAGAGAGAAAGGGAGAGGGTAGCATAATGTCAGTGTGCAGAATTCAAAGTATAAATCAATCACGCACAGTCCCTTCCATCACCATTTTATGCTCCTTCTGAATAAGAATGCTGTGAATCTCTGCCTACCGTGTCTCAGTGATACAGGACTTTACCCAGCATCACCACTGTTTTCTGCAGCTGACAGCTGCGGAAGTTTGTTTGTTTCATCAGCTCGCTGCTGACTCTGTGCACACTAGCCCGGGCTTCAGGACGTCCATTGTAACCAGCGGATATCCACATTATGGATGCCAGACATGTTTACATCACTCTACCCACATAATTCCTCCATATTATTACCCGGTGCTACGCAAACAACACTATAATCAGCATTACACGTCTTTGATAGAAATATTTGTCGCCATGATGTTGAAGTAATCACTCTCTTACAGATTCAACATATTTGATTGAGATATGTCTTTATAGAAATCGAATGTTCTTATACAACATTACAGCCAAGCTCCTCCCGTCCAGCCCAGTCAGTAATACTTCAAATGTGACACAAACTTATATTTAGTTGTGTTATCAAGATGAGAAAAGTTGTTTTTGCCTAAACTTTAATGGTGAACTGGAAAAAGCCCAGTCCTAACAAGCCAAGTATCATCGCTTATCATAGTGGAAGCAGACATATTTTAGTCAATAGATTGATTCTCTTCCTGTGCTTGTGTGCTGTGACAAGGACACCAGTCCAGTTAAATGCTAAATGGCCGAGTCGAGCTATAAAACCATAACTTGACTTAAATACAGACTGCATGCTTTAGTATGCTCTGAGTTAATGACTCCTTCTGCAAAAAAAAATATATATATTGGAGAAAAGACAGCAAATGAACCAAATTTTCCTTTTTATGGTTCTTTCGTGCACTGCACCGTCATCGTCTGGTTCTGACACATTTTCTGAAAAATGGCTGCATTTTGAAAACCTTTCCAAACTCAGCAAAAGAAAAAGTATTGAATCAAATATGAGGGCGAGACCTCTGTAGATAAATACACTGCCAAGTTCTTCTGTTTGTCACAAATGATGGTTGAAAAGGAGTACTTTTGTAAGAGTCAATACTTTTAGTTTATAGTTGCTCAACAGCATGTTAAGCTTCAACCCAAACTTCCCAGATACGTGAATTTAGCCCATTGCTGATTAAAGGAGACAAACATCCATTATGGTCTGGGTGTATATCTTTTGAGATTGAACCTTCATGGCTTTGAATGACTGACATAGTTTTGTCTGTTACAGAGAGGTGGAGCATTTTTCAACACGGCTGTGACAAAGGTATTTTCTTTTTTCCAATTTAAATTCCTGGTAACAATTCTCATGTTTGTAAAAATGGTTTAAACGAACCAGATCACTTTTCTTAAAGAAAATATTTTGAATATATTGAAAAGCAAAAAACCTTAAATGGCATCTGTTGTTACCGGTCGTGGAGCTAAAAGGAGCTTTTCTTCATGGGTTCTGAATGTACGATGAGCTGTACAATAGGTGGTCAGGCTGGCCTTTCATGTTATTGCCTCCTGTTAGTGTGTGAATCTCTCGTATGCTGCCTTTTGTCTGCGTGTTTTTGCCACAGGGATCAAAGCATTTCTTGATGTTACATGGAACCAGAACAGAATGTTAATGCAACTTGTTGTGATTAATAATCTGTGTGTGTGTGTGTGTGTGTGTGTTGTTTTATCCTCCTAGGCCAAGCATCAGGCCAAGAGGGGCATTCGGGACATTAAGGACAGACTTAAAGCAAAGGTGAGCTACGTGGACCTCCACACCTTTCTGACACCGCGCACGTACTCTGAAGCGCGTGCCAACAGACATGTACACAACTCTTATTTGAGGCTCGCAGACAGACACATGCCCCACTCATGGAAACAGACAGGGAGGCTGCTTTACATGGAGTGTGTGATTCTGACGTAGGGACCTTTTAATGACTCTTGAAGCCTGCTTAGCGCTTTGTTCAGGGCTGTACATTTTTAACTAGCGCCCCTCTGGCTATGGCCTGTCATGTCATCCGAGCCCCAGCCCTTCTTTCTCTTTTATTGTCTGCATATTTCATCAGTGAGCCTGTGATTTCCTCAAAGCTAATGTAACGAGGTGTATGTTTCCATAATCCTGATGGATTTGATAAGGCAATAGCAGTTTGATCTGTCAGTGGGAAAGAATAGAGAGGGCACCAGCGATGAGCAAGACGTGTACCATTCTGCACCGTGTTTGCTCACTGATGTATGAGCGACGGATCCAAACAGAGGTGCAGGGGTCCATTTGATTTTGAAGTTAGGCAGATATCCCGTTCAGATGAGAGATTAGTTTTTGAAAGAACAAATCTGCTTTGCATTTTTTTGTTTCTGCCACCTGCAAAGTTCTACACAAATCACAAATAACCTGTTCAGAGTACGTTGCCATGAGGGTTTGTGTCATAATTGATATATTAAAGATATTTAAATAAACTGTTATATTTAAAGATGAAACCAAAATAAAAAATATAAATAAGATAAATAAAAAAATGTAATAGATGCCTGTCAGTGCTTCCAACGTGCTTGTTTATAAATGTGACACCTGAGTGCAGCCAGTCCTGGTAAAGATGAAGAAAAAAACACTGTTTTGAATTCATTAAAGACTATTTTTCACCCCAGATTAAGTCCTCCAGCAAGTATTTACTGTTGAAAGAAAAGTTTAAACAAAAACCTCAGTCCTATGTCCTATTAATGACGGCCAAGTCTTCATCTAATTATTTTACTAAGGTTAAGTTCTTAAAAAGATGCCTTGCCTTGGAATTAGTTATAACTGAAAAACAGTCAAATAAAACAGAGTAATATTATATATTGAATGGATTAAATATTGATGATAAATGGGAATAAGCCGGACAAAAGACCGCTATGTTTGAGAAATTTGCACATTAAAGTCAGTACAGGTCATTCCTGACTCAGAAACGGTTAGATTTATATTCCATTTCTCTCCCAGGAAGAAGAAGAAGAAGGGGTGAATGTATGTGCAGGGTCTCCCACCAGCACCAAGAGCCTGTCTCCTAGGAGACTGCGAAAGATGAGACAGGTATGATGCACACACACAGATGCACATCAGTAAATGAGTTAACTACATTTACACTGACTGATCATACCAGGGCTCACTTTTCACTTGACCGAAATGGATTCAGTCCTCTGCTCCAGCACCCTTTTTTTCCGTCCACTTTTTTGTTCTCATCGCTTTTTTTCCCCTCCATTTTTTTCCAGCTCCAAATCTTTTTGACTCCTTTTTTCCATTTTTTTTTGGTATATATATTTTACTTTCCCACTTCTTCCCCCTACTCAACCTCTCTTACTCTCTGGTAAGAGCTCAGGGAAGTGCAGTAGTTTGTTCCAAATGTAATCATAAGCATTTTTCTTCCAACACCCTTATGTTTTACATTCAGTATTTTCCTCTGAACATCACGGACAGTCGAAGCACCTCGTCTGCTGGTCAGCATTTCCTCTGAAGAATTTGCTTGTGCACCATAAGTGGATAGCACAGTTTTTTTTTCCTTCCCTTTGTTGAATGCAGAGCTTGAGTGTGATGTGCCAGCACATGCGCTCCCACAAAATCCACACTCATCAATAAATATATGACGTCTATATGTTCGGTTAAATCGTAACAGACGCTTGGCTCGATTTAAATAAAAATGTACACGTATATTCCTCGGCTTTGCGAGTTTAGTTCCATGCCATTATAATTGCAAACTTGCTCAGAACACAGGCACACAGCCTCAGGGATAGTAGTTATATCATTTCCCACCTCACATCTACACCTCTGTGGTCCCAGCTGGAGCTTCTCCATATCTTTGTGTATTCCAAATTTTGAAAAAAAAACAACACACACACACACACAAAAATAATAATAATAAAAAGATAATAAGCCTGCATGCACACACTGACATTTTTGGTCACAGCCATGTAAGAGTGTGATTAGGAGAGGTTGTGCTGTGTCTAATTAGTGTTGTGTTTCCTGTGTGTGTGATGAGGCTGGAAAGTCTAAGCGCAGGGAAGGTGTGACGGCCAGGGGAGAGGAGAGGAACGGCAATTAGGGCTTTTCTAAAGGCCTTTCTCGGACACACCCCGCTCCCACCCCCAGGCCAGCGCACACACAAAGACGGGCCAACACACAGACGCAGATTAACTGTTGACATCCAGTTGATGCGCACACGCTCACACTCGTGTTCATGCCATTGAGCCCTGCTCATTGCCACAGTAACAGGTCCCCGGAGACCACTGGAGGAGGGACAGGCAGGACACAGGATGGCGTGTCCCGCAGCACGCCTTTTGTGTGTGTGTTTACATGTAGTCAATCACTTTCTCTGTAATCACACACAATGGTCCTCCCAGTCTTAATTTAATGTTTCTAGCTCCAGCATTGTTTTGGGATATCATTGAACAGCCAGGCTAAATGAGTTAAATCGTACCCGTATTTTCAATGTTGAATTTGATTCCTTTTAGTCCACTGAAACCAAGACAGTAAATACAAAAGCCAAGAAGACAGTCAGTTGATCGAAAGGGAAGGAAAATCATATGAAAGAAAAAAAAAAAAGACAAAGCAAAATGATTTGATGAGGACATAATAAGAAAAAGATACCTTCCACTTTTTCCTACACCTGCAGTTTATTCACTCTCACCCTATTGTTTATCGCTTTATATTTACGTTTCAGTCAACAAAAAAACAGCCATTATTCCTTTTTCTTTTTTTTTGCGTGACTCGCCTTTTCTTTTCATTTTCTCCTGTAAAATGTTGGTAATGTTTTTCTGCCCACAACGGTTTTAATGCAGGTGTTCAAGCTTGTAAAAAAATATTTCTCACTGGGGCTGACAAGGTTGAATGGAGGTTAAATGAAATTATCAGAAAACCTCACGTGCAGGCCTTTTATCCTTTTACTAGACTTTTCCACGACTAGCTGGCTGAAAATAGATGAGTGAGTTCTTATGAAAAAAAAACATTCTGAGTTGGATCTGTGTCCATGCTGTCTATAAAGAAAATGCTGTGAGTTTTTATTTTTATTTTGTTTGAATTTTTTAAAGTGTGAGGCAATACAATTCAACCCCACCCAAATTTAAGAATAACCTAAATAAACATGCTGGTCTGACAAAGATGTTTTTATCAAATGGTTCTGTAAAAATCTCAGATCTAACATAGGTTATGTGTGAGATTTCTTAAAAGTTTGTTTAAACTTTAATGTCTTTGTAAATGTCTACCATTAGAGCATCTTTAGAAGAAAAACACAGGGAATTTAAGGTGCTGTCCGGTGGTTTCTATCCTCAGCATGTCGGTATGTGCGACACAATTTTTAGAAAACCTCCCCTTAAATATTGATAAAGCAAAGTTTCTTCTGGTTTGTCGTTCCCCGGCTGCTCCAAAGCCTCGTGCACCTGCATCTTTGGATGCGGAAACACTTTGTCATCAGGAGCTCCAAAAAATGTCCTGTGATTAGAGACGTTCCATCCTCCCGTCGAAAAAGAAAAACTCCTGTTGCATTTTCATCCTTCATCATTTTTTCAGCAAACATCGCCGTCTGTCCTTGAAGTGAAATGAATGATCCCGGTGAAGCCGCTTTAATTAATCATAGCGAAATAATCAGAGTTCTGAAATTCATATTCTATTTGATCAGCCAACACATGTACTAAAGTGGAAGTGCTGCTGTCATATGCATCCATATTTCAGCTGTATCCGGCAATGTGGGTGATTTGTACTGTTTGGTGAGCGTGTTGATTAAGAATGTAGGAGTAAGCCTTTCTTTGACAAAAACAAGGCTGAATTGGACTGCTGACTCCTTGTCTGATATAACAAACAACACTTGTTCTGGCTTTTGTATAGTTTTGTGTAGTGTTCTCAGATTCTGTTTAAGAGTTAGCGCCTGTAGTGTGTGAGTGTGTTTTATGTGGCAGCGTGCTGCAAATAGGAATTATGTTTGTACCACAGCCCTTTAATGCGTGAAGATATATTGAGCGTGTCCACTGGATGTGCACACACAGACATGCATTTTGCAAAATGCCTCAGGTTGGAAGCAAAAGAATGACAGCTGTTAAGAGCACAGAGGAGAGCACAGGTCGGGACAGTGTTATGGACAATGACAGCCAGCCGGCTTGTGGCCGGGCTCAGCCCCAGGCTCCGGACTCTCACCTGGTGAGGCAGGAGAGATGCCAGCCTGGAGAGCAGCTCGGGGTTGAGGGGAAACCGGGGGCTTCCAAAGATGTAAAACAGGAACAAAGTCACAAGTGTAAAGGCTGATGTGATGTGTGTGTGTGTGCGCCGCATCAGATAGTTCACGTGTTTATAACCAGCGGACACATATGTACACGGTACGCAAGACTTCTCATATGCATTGTGGTTCAAGAAATGCATGTTAGGACTGTCATCTTTCTCCCTATTCAAAAGTGTGTGTTCTACGCAGCGCTGCTTTTAATGCCTTACACTGAGGAAATGAATGCATTATATGGGGCTAAATCCTCATCAGCAGGGAAAAGAATGAGCTTTTTTTAAAGCGAGGAGCTAATCGGTAATTCACAGTGACTTTACGAGCCGCAGATTACGGGATATTTTTGAGGATGTTTCTCAGTGGTTTTGTCTACCTGAGTTGTTTGTTTTCATGGTTATTTGTATGTATTTGTAGTCTTCACTCCGGTTAGTTTCCCCTTTCTTCAGGGCCCAACCAGCTTCCTTTCTGTAACTAAAGTGCCACCTCCTGGTTTTCTCGGGGTACTGCATCACACCCATTCATAGAAAGACACCCTGGTGATTTCACTGCAAAGACTTTGGTTTAATCGGACAGAATTAGTTTAACGCGCATTCTCCGTCTTTTATACGGCTCCTGATTCGAAGCGAAAAAGGAAGCGGCCTTTCAGAAATGGCCAGTTGGACTGAGGAGCACTGGATCTCTCCTCAAACGCAGTTTTTTTTTTTTTTTTTCCCCCTTTCCACTTTAGAGTGAGCAGCTCTTAAAAAGAGGCAAACATGGTCTTGGCTGTTCTTCTGCTAAGGCTTTTCTTCTCCCAAAGGTTTGTTTGCATTTTACCAGCATTTCTTTGCACAACCTGCCAAGCTGTGAGATCAGTGCCCACTCCGAAATACCATATGAGATGTATAACGTTAGAGCGGCTATTAAAGTCCACCAGTGTTCTGGCCCTGTCACAGAGAGGCATAGTTGTCCCGCATAACTGCTCATGCAGGGAAAGGAGGCGAGAGGGAGGGAAAGTTTGTTTCTCCTAATACAGCTCCTAAAATTGATGGTGATGACTATTTTCCCCTCATAACCACAGAAAATGAAATATAATTTGTTGTATAAATCTGAAGATGTTTTTAAATGGATTAATTCCCGGCATTTGATCATTACTTTCGAAGGCCCAGTATATAAGGATTTTTGGAGGAAAGGACATATTAGTCATGTTTACTACTCTCAGCCTCATTTCCCTGCAGTCTAGTCGCAGACTTGTAGGCTACCTCTTGCCTTTTTTATATCCACAATCAGAATCTTTTGAGTCTTTAGCCAGCTACTCAAGGACACAAATCACAGAAATAAATTAACACACAAATTATGAAATCTCCTTTCTTTGCTATGCAAGAGCCGGTGAAATAATTTCCATAATTTCGAAACCCGAGGGATCCTCTCCATCTTTAAAAATACTGAATCAAGTTAGCGATACTGAAATAACTGTAGCTTTAAAAAGATTATTATTATTATTTTTATGACTTCTGCTTCCTCCCCTGACTGTTTCTCTCACTTCCCTCTCACTCTGCACGGTCTTACTCGTGGCACGGTGGCAGAGAGGAAGAAACCGAGAGCCCAGACAGAAACGGTGACATCTGTCACAGGCAGAAGAGTGACAGAGGGAGAAAATGAGAGACAGGAAGGCATGGAGCGAGAATCACTTTTTCATTTTCACCTTTCAGCTTCCCATTAGCCGACAGCGAGAAACTAATGAAGGAGCAGTATGATAATCTGTTGTTCTCCCATTTCATGCTCTCCACTGTCCTGTCAGGCCTGGGGAGATGTGGGATGGTGACATAGCTGTCACGGCTTTAACGGGGGGAGAATCTCTCATTGTGAATGTCTTTATACTTTTGTTATTGTTGTTTTCATTGACATCCCTCTGCTGCCGCCGTTGGTCTTAACAGTTCTGCAGTATCATTAAAATTATTGTTTTTAAAAAAAAGTAACTAGCAAAGGGCTCGCTTGTTGAAAAGCCATCAACACGAGTGCAATGTTTTGGCTATTTTTAAAGAAGAAGAAGAAGAAAAAAAAAAAGCTGTGATAAACCCACTGCTGTGCCAAATTTGGCGCATATGCTGTAAAATGCTTGGTTGCTATAAAAAAAATCCATCTCAAATGTTGCACTCAAGGGTTACAGGGAAGAGAGGGAATGACAAATTGATAAAGCCATGAAGTGATATACCATCCATTTACTGCTCCCCGTGGAACTTCCTCTCGGGTAGACAGCACCAAAGCTGTAACCGAGATCAGAGGGCCCGGCTTCATGACCTGTGTCTGGTTGTGTTTGGGTTCACCTTGCTTTAATAAACACCTAGACGCAAAGAGGGGGCCCTGCCCTCCCGGACGCGGCCCCCGTCGCACAAATGAACAGCCCGAGTAACGGCCCCGGCCCGCCATCGCGGCCCACGTGCTTTTGGGGGTGTTCGTGTGGAGGTGTTTTCTGTCCATAGCAGACCTTTTCCCCGCGTGTCTCACAGGTGCATCTCCGCTCTGCTGGCCCGCTCCGGCCGGCTGCCATGTCGGCCCCGGCCCCAGATTTACGGCCCCAACACAGGAATCCATTAAAGGCTGTTTAGGGATCCCAGGCCTGAGCCCCTCTGAAATCTCTTTCATTATAGCTCCAAGCTACCATGGAAGGGGAGCGGCTCGGCCAATCAGCAGCGCCACCACATGTGTTCATGCTTAGCCTGATGGTTGAGAGGCTTAAGTGGCTACTGCACACATCTCCTTCGCTGACTTTTATGGAGAAAATGGCACTTTAACTCTCTGGGGTTTTTTTTCTTTCTTTCTTTCTTTTTTTTTTTGAGGGATAGAGCACCTATGGCCAGTGTGTACATGCTTGTGTGTGTGTGCGCGCGTGTGTGTATTTGTGGTCTGATAGCGAGCACAGGCCCTAAATGAGGGCAGGCCAGCCACACGTTACATTCCGCCTGTCTGGCTGGCACTGTGGTGACTAATCAAGACCAGCTTGGTTCATGGTTTCAAGACTGACCCACTGCACCCTTACAGCCCCAGCCCTACAACAAACACAGAGACACACACACACACACACACACACACACCATACCCATCATTCCGAGGGCCTCTAAGTCTTTCCTCACCTCTCTATATTTCCTTCCTTCCGTTTTCATTACCTTGTCATTCATTACCTTCCTCCCTGGTCTTTTGTTCACCTTTTGGAAAACCTTTGTCGCTGCCAAAGCCTCCGCACACCTCTCTAAGCGTATTAAAAAAATATTTTAATGTTCCTGAGCGATATGCAAACAGAAAAGGTGGAGCAAAGCGTTAAAAACACAGGCGATATCAAGAGTGCCCACAGACGCTAATACACCGGAGTCATTTAAGGTGCTCTGATGTGAACTGCACCCCGTGAGTGTGCAAAGAGACTGAAATACATTCAGAGGGAAAGAGGTTCAGCTCAAAAGGTGAGCAGCAAAGAGAGAGAGAGAGAAAAAAAAAAGAGTGTAAATTAGAAATCGAGAGATAGTGTTAACATCAGTGAACATGAACACATAGTGAGAGGAACATATGCGTCGTGGTGGAAGGCATGTTAATAAGTGGCCTGGGGCAGATTTGGGCTCCCACGGGGAGAGTCCTGCCCTGCTCTGTAAAGCTTCTGTCTCTTCCTTAACCCGCCCATTAAACACAGTACACAGGTGGCTTATTAAACCCCGCCGTGTCAGACGACAACGACACCGCACACTGATCATTCAGCCCCACTGTGACAAACCCAATCAGATGCCCCGGTGCCATAATGCAAATGATCGATGTAGTCACCGATATCTCGGAGCTCAATTGCCTTTCAGTTTACGCGTTATGTCGGGTTTGACAAATTACTGCGGGGGATCTTAAAGATTTTTATCCCCACAGACCCAAATTTGACAAATTTAGTCTCAGCCCGCGGGGTCCCGGCTCATTAAAAGAAAGCTATTGGTACTTTCTTACGGGGACCCACCAGACACAAACCTGCTTCTTTTATTCTGGAGAACTGTGTGTTTTATGGAAAGCTGTTTTTCAGCTGAACATCAAATTTGGATAAAGTCTGTGTTTTTATTAATGTACTGAGAAGCAGAGACCCCCCACAGGTCCACTTTCGTTGTTTATCGCATTATTCCATGTGCTTAACTGCAACCCCTTTTTTGTTATTCTCCTTAACAGCATAACTTCAACAAGTCTCCCATGAGCACGGGCCCTCAAGAACTTGGCTACGGGCTCGATGATGATGAGCTGGACACTGCAAGCAAGTGAGTACCTGAAGGAGTTTGTTTATTCTGTATACTTTTGTTTAAGGCGAGTCTTCGTTTATAGTTGGAGAAGTTGTCAGCATGTGGACTGCTTGTCCAAGCAGATAGTTGTCTTTTTACTTTTTTTTTTCCCTTTTCTTTTTTTCTTTGCTTTTGATAACACTGCCCCCATGTGGGCTCATTGGTTACAGCATGAATTTTGAGACTGACTGTGTCATTCCACACAGCATAGATTAAATTTAACAGTCAAGCTTCTCCAAAAGCGAAATCTTATCATGTGGAGGAAAATTAAATGCAAACAGAGACGCAGGGGAGTGAAGAGCTGCCTGCTCTTGCCTTTTTAAACGCAGGATCTCCTCTGAGGACAGTGGAGATGTTCCCTCTTACACCGAGGACAGCGACGACTCCTGCTCCCTGGAGCTGGACTTGGACTCCTCACGAACGGGCCAGATGAACCTGTTAGAGGAAATCCTGGATTCCCTGACCACCACAACAATCGAGCAGGGAAAACTCAGCGGGGCCAAGAGCCTGGACTTCTTCCGGTCCATGGACGAGTTGGACTACAAGGCCCCGGTAAGCAAAAACAGAATAAACCAGGATACTTGCAAGTAAGATGGCTAACGTTTTCTTCATAAAGAGTCTTCTTTTTTCTTTTTTTTATCTTCACAAGACGAAGCCGGCGCCTTGCAGTGAGTCCATGTCCGGAGGTGAGAGGAGCGGTGGTGCAGGAGGGGATCCGGGCGGGTGGAACATGGGCCAGGATGACAGCGCCATCCACGGAAAACACCTTCCTCCATCCCCACGCAGACAGCCCAACAAGAGCAGCCTGAAGGGGTCAAAAAACCTTCCAACAGCTCCAGCACCGCCCGCCGTCCCGGCTGTGGCCACTCCGCTCCCCGACCCTCACCCTCCTCCGCCCGACTCGCCCCCGCGGGCCTCCGCTCTCTCGCACACGTACAGTTCACGCAGTCACCCCAATCCGAGTTCGTCTCTCGCACCAGCGGGCCGGTCGCGGACCATCTCCGACCCCCAGAGCGGCTCGGAGCCCCCTCAGGCCCAGAACCTGCCCGCGTCCACCGGCATCCTCAGGAGGAAGGTGCTGTCCAAAGAGACGGTGAAGAATTACCAAGAGAAGTCCCTCCTGAGGCAGGGCAGCAGGGGTCAGCACGAGGCGCTCCGGAGCACCTCCAGGAACAGCCACGCCGCCGTGCAGGTCCCCTGGGAAAAAGAGGTGTCCAAGGAGGGCCTCCTGGGGCTCGGCCTCTGTCTGGGTCAGGGGAAAGTCTCAGGGGCAGCCGCGGGGCAGGATCCCGGCCTTCTGGAGGAGATAGAGTCCATGTGTTGCCTGGGCTCTGTCCTCCACAGCAGCCTACAGCTCCCTCAAGTGAACTGCAACAGCGGTCACCACCAGGTCCAGGGCAAAGCCACAGACGAGTCCTGATCATCAAGGAAGTCTGGAAAGTGCCACAGGATTTCTTCTTCTATTACAGGTAGTAGCGGTCCGAAAGAGCCCGGTCAGTTCTTATCCTTTTTTTTTTTTTTTTTAACATGTTGATGGCAACAAACAACATTTCGAAAGATGTGGAAGTCACATGATCCAAGACACGAACCATCGGCTACAAAAATCCCCAAGGTTCCAGAATTTAAACCTTGGGCAAAGGACATGAAAGGGGTCAACGTATTTCAAGACTTTTCTTCATTTGAAAGACAACCTTATTTTATTTCAAAATTAGACAAAATGTAGCTGTATTCCGGATTCCGTTTGGAATCCAATTCTGATCAGATCGAAACCTTTGCAGTGTGTTTTCAACTGGGTTAGATTCCTCAGTATTTACAGCTGTTACCGTCAGAACACATTAGCTTAAATTGATTTAATATGAGTCAGTACTTTGAAAGGATCGAGAAGGGATGATATCTCCTAACAAACATTGTGTCAGTCTGTATTTCACTGTGCGTTGAGCACTTCACGTACGGAATTTGCACTTCTAGATTAATTTAGAAATTATTATTACTTATGAGCAAAAACGGCAACAAGAAGACAGGATTTTACATAGACTACAAGGTCCAAAAAGGCCTTTGAAGCTAATAACTACGTGTAAGATAATAATTCAAGTCACCATGCCTTATATTGACAGGTGGTTTATTTTGATACTCTGATGTCTTAATCTTTACAAACCACAGCAGGTACTTTGCTATCAGATCTTAAATTCAGCAGTGAGTAGTTAATATATATGATGTCCTTTACACTGCTGTTTTTAAGGAGTTTTCACATTAGGAGATGTGCATGCACAGACCTGTCTGCATCTCCTCCCTCTTTTTGAGTTCTTCAGCAAACTTCTGTCTCCCTAAAGTGAAGAAAATCCAAAATGAATAACCTGAAAAAGCCAGTGTCTGCGCTTAACCCTCCTTTTATTTCTCCTTTTACACCATCTCACTCAATTCTCTGGCTTTCACTCTCCACTCTCCACTCTCCAGAAATTCAGGCCAGTTGTTGGCGAGCTAATGCTGTTTGGCATGGTCGGGGGGGAGGGGAAAGGTGAAAATTGAAAGAACGACGATCAACAATTCCCAGGAAAGAACCAAAACTAACAGGGCTCTGTTTGCGGCAGCCCGATGTGTTGGCGCTCAGGCTTCCTCAGCTTCTCTGTGGCACTTCGCCTCCAGCATCTTTGCTCCCGCTGAAGATGTAAACTTTTAAAATGGGTCATGAATAACAGGAATTATTAGTGTGTGTTGCAAACTATTTTTAAAGATGAATTCATAGTTTTGCTCTTTTCAGAGGATTTGTTGACAAAGAAAATGTACAACACCAGAATTATCACACAACTCTTGTCTAGTTTTTTTTCTCTCCGTCTCCATCTCTTTGCCTTTTCTATCTCTCAAGATGAAACGCGACCTCTGTGCGACTAAATTCGAGTCGCGCGTTGTAATTTATTGCAGTGATTGATGATTGTACTGTGATGAAGCAATATGCTCTAGTTCTACTCAGAGGAGCTGGATGAACATGGATGTAATGCACGTATGGAGAAAGAGTGTTTGGACGGCGGACTCTTCTCCCGTGGAGAGGAGCGCCTCGTCCAGAGATTGTGGCTCCGTTCTCTCGTCTCTCACCACAAACTCAGAGCAAAGGAGAAAGCTCTTTCATGTGTTTGTCTTGGGATTACTACATTTATGGCTCGTTGTTCTTATGATTTATGCCAGACGCCAGTCGATGTGGCAGTTTAATAGCAGCTGTTTCTCCACTTTTTGAGTGCTGCTCTGCGTTAACGATTTGCTCATAAAGTCTTTGGCATGCTTCTAAAAGACCAAGAATCGGTCCTGGTAATTCCGAATAGGAAAAAAAAAACACCAAAAAAAACAAACAAACTCCAGAACAATCTCTGCACCGACCTCGTTCACTGTAAACACTTTAATGAACATGTGTACTATGCAAATCTTTAGAATTCCTAAACAGGTCGGCTTTGTTTGACAGTGATTACAGGATATTTCACACCCCCCAAATCCAAATCAGACACTCTCTCGTGAAAGTAATCCTTTGTGTATCCCTAAATGAATAGAAAGGTGTGTGCGTGATGAGAATGTGCGGCGTGCCTTATACAGTAAGTGTACCACCAATAATAATCACAGCCGGGTACAGTGTTATAGAGCTGTTTTTCAGACCACAGTGAGGAACGCTGAGCATGTCGGCTTTTTATGTGACGAACGGACATAAAAAGCCTCGCTCGGACCTGGGAGGCTAACCTGGAATGAACCTGGGCTCCTTGTTTTTTTGCAGCGGTTGTGTTTTTCAGTTTGGGCCGCAGTCCAGCTGGAGTTGCTCTGTGTTTTTCTTTGCTGCGCTGGGAGTCTTCCCTACTTGTACTTAAGAGAAGATGTTGTTGGTTTTCTTAGTTTTTTTCTGTTATTTTTCTCTGTAAAGTCGGTACTTTATTAGATTGTACTGTTAGATTAATTGCTTGTATGGTTTGTGATTCTATTTCTCTTTTCTTTTCTCAAACACTTTGAACACGTTCCCTGAGCTGTATTAAAAAAAGACATAAACTCTCAGAGGAATTTCTTTAGGTGATTTAATATTGACAAAAAATATTTTCAACCTAATAGATGTGTATTTTTTCTGGCTTGAGTATATTTTACATGGATAATATATGATTGGTGTTGTATGTTTAAAAGGAAAAAAAAGACACCTACAATTTGAATGTTCTAGATTTTATTTTTGGAAAAAGAACAATATTCAAATGTCCCATGTAGCCATTCATGTGCGGGTACCTTTGATCAAAGGCAAAGACTGAGGCTTGTTTGTGTGTGGTGCAGTACTTAATGTTGTACCTGCATGTTTGTACTGTACGCTCTGATTTTGTTGTCTCACAAATGTGGTCTTCTCTTTTGATTTTCATATTATTTCAGTATTTTAAGACGTCCATGAGACTTTTGGATGTTAGCGTTGTCTTCTGCGCAAACTTTTCTGCTGTTTTTGTTACTACTGTAAATCTAACCGTAGAGGACTGTAGGAGGGAATATCCTAATAGAAAGCTGCTGTTGAGGAACAAAAAGCTTTATTAACTCTGCTCTCATTTACATTAATTTAAGACAACAAGAGTCATTTCAGTGTCTGCAGGCTTGTGACGGGTAAATATGCCTGACACGGTGTAGACTTTAGAGGATAAAGATTCCAGTTTACATTGTGTCGTGGCCCTGAAATTATAAGTGCTTAGTGGGAAATGACAGGTGACGTAGCAGCATTGAAGTATGGAGCAAAATAAGATTCGGCTTAAAGAAAAAGACTGTTTAAGGGTATTGGCCAACACTTTCTGTTTCGTTCTCTAGTCGGATCTGTTGTAGTAGCGTGCCGTTTTTCTAATGGTGAGCACACATGCATGTTCTCATTCCAGAAAATAACAAAACAAACAAAAAAACAACTGTCTGCTACAGCTAAGGTCAATCTAATGTGCTATTGATGAGTAACTTGGTACAACTGCACACAATGTATGCACTGTGAATTAAAAATAAATTATACTGTTTCATGCTTAAGCTTCTCTGGACTCTTTTCAGACAAAAACAACAACAGGTCCTCAAGTCCAAAATAAATCAGATTTTAAAAAGACACAATCAAAAACACATAACAATTGGATGACATTTCAAATGAATAGATTTGGAAGGTAATGACTCCAAAGGCACCGTGTTCCCCTGTGATGCCAGCTGGGAGTATGTAAACAACTATTATAACTCTTAATATTACTGTTATTCAAATATTAATAGCTTACATGCAATGATCAAGTGATCTCTTACTATTTTCTAAACACATTTAGTTTAATCAAATGATCACATCCTTACCAACTGACGGAAAACCAGGAGAGATAAATTCTGATCGGTTTATGGATTTGTTTTCCGTGCTGGTTATTGAATGAGTGGCTGTCAACATTGGCACATTTATTTATCCAGGCACAAATATCAGTTAGCTTGTCTTGGAGCAGATTTCCTGACGCTCCTAATGATACAGACACACACACACAGAAATAAATAAAACACTAAATCAAATATATTGATTTAACCAGCAAAATCCAATTCATATTAAGTAAAAAATAATAATAATTCACAGTTTTAACCAGTAGATAATCATGACCCCATAGACACATGAAATGGCAGTATAGTCTAAAAAGCTATATTGTCCATCCACATTTTTATAAAATGACTCCTATCCAATGAAGCTATTGCTGAAACATGCCTGTTGGGGGACATGATTGCCAGTAAAGAGCCAAAGTATGAAAAGTGAGAACATCCTCTGAAAAAGACAATAAATCAATGCTGACAGCAGCCCTCAGTGTGCTGATAAATAATACAATGAGCGGGACCAGGCCTGTTTCTTTCATATATACACAGGATAAAATCAAACACATGGCATTGACATTTCTCTCATGAAAAAAAAGTATCTCAAAAAGGTAAAAACCCAATAAATGTTACTTCTGTGAGCTTTTAGCACTCCCACATACAAACGTAATATTATTATGAAAAGCCGATAGAGTATTAATTCTAAACAATTACATTTAAACACACAAACACTTTTTGGCAGTGAAAGCTCTGCTAGAACTCCTGCTGTGTTTTCTGGGACATTTCTGACCCTTTAAATTAAGAAATGGCTTTATGTAAATTGTACAAAGTTAAAGATGATTGAATGATGAGTGGCTGTATGGGATTACTTCACAAAAAAGAAAAATCACAAACATGTTGTCGTCTTTCCCAAGAAGACCATGAAAGTGTGTGTGCTCTCAGGGGTCAACCATTTAATGGATTCACTTCTGCACCATCGACCAAACGAATCATCTCAGGAGGATGGGTGACGCGTGAGAACATGCGTGAAGAAGGACAGCCGGGGGTGTGAAATGCTGATATGAAAGCATCGGGCTGAAAGCATCGGGCTGAAAGCATCGGGCTGAAACCATCAGCGCTAGATCATCCCCCTGTGCGGAAAACACCTGCTTCTCATATCAGTCTCTCCATGGGAGGCGGTTGGGTGATGCTCCACATCTCCACCCGAGATCCCGCCTTCTCCTGCCGACTGGGGCTGTAAGTGCCGTGGGTGGCCCGCCGGTTGAGTGCCACCACCAAGCTGACGGAGGTCAGGATCAGAACCAGCAGCAGGATGACCGACGCCAGACTGATGGACAGCAAGAGGTCAGAGCCTGCCCCCGGAGAGGTCAGCTGTAGGGACAAAGTCACAGCCGTCACAGGTGCTTTCTGGAAATCTGACCAAAAAAAATGTTAATGCTTAAGAGATGTTACCAGACAGAATGAACACAGACTTGTTTCTCACACCCTCTCTCACACACTCTTCCTCTCCTGACTGCTTTACTCTACACCAGGCGCACACTGCCAAAGTGCTGATGGATGTGGTTCCCAGCTCAGTAGGTGGGTTGCGACCACCAGGAGCCTGGAGCTGCCGTGGACTGAAACCTCCCCCCGTCTGCCGCCTGTCTCCGAGTTTGGCCGCGGCGAGCGCCAGCCCCAGCTACCGCCAAGCCAACCACACACGGTGCCAAGGCGGCGAGCCACCCCTCGAGCTGTGTGGAGCACGCTCCTTCTGTGAGGGATCACACACACACACACACGCACACACACACACGCGTACAGCCAAGATGCGGCCGGATCATCCCATCTGCACATGCTCAGCAAACGCACACTTACTACCAAAATAGCTCCCACAAGCACAAACACACACACACACACACACACACACACACACACACACACACACACACACTCCACTGCTTTAAAGCAGCATTCAAAGCTGCTTTACTTCAAGACTCTGACTTGTATCCAGGCGCTCGTAAAACCCTGCTCGCATTTGTATTTAACTCGCAACCCTTGACCTTCACGCGCAACAAACTCGTCCAAACACCGTCATCACCGACTACAAACCGACATCTGGCACGGACAAAACGCACAACAGGAGTCCCCAATCAATCCCATGCGAATCAAGATGTAGTATATCTCCCATCTGGAGCAGGAGAGTGATTGTGAAACTTAAATAAACAGCAGCAGGAACCAGAGCTGCGCTTACACCGGGAGTTGTTGATGATGGGATAGTTGTCACTGTCTGAGTGGCTGCCGGAAAGGTCACAACAGCTGTAAGTCTCATTCCACACATTTTCCAGCTTCTGGCTGGTTGCATCTCCATGACTAAAGCGCCTCGCCGAACTTGTCAGGTTACACAAATATAATCTCAGAAGTCAGCAAACTTTACACTGAGCAATCAGCATGGAAACATAATTCTAATTTAAAATACAACCATCCGTATCCCGGGGCAAAAAATAACTTGCGCGCTCATGCTTGACGCTGCAGAGACTCTCGCTCGTTACAAGTTCTTTTGTTGACTCTCAGAAAGTGCTTACCTGTCACGGCAGCACAGTTGGCTGTCAGAGCGAGTGTGACACGAGCGAGCTGGAGCAGCCTGCAGCCAGGACCTGCCATCAGTCAGCGGCTGCCACACACACACACACGCCGAGATGTCTAACTAACCAGTCTCTGAGGTGCACAGCGAGGCCACCCCGAAGCCTCGGCAGAGCAGCTCCGCACAGAGACGGCAGCCATTCTTCCCTGCTGTCAGCACTATCAACCCGCTCTGCGTGTGTGTGTGCGTGTGTGTGTGTGTGTGTGTGTGTGTGTGCCTGCCAGATAAGCTGCCCTCATACGTTCCTGTGAAGCAGACCGAACTCCTGTGAAAGCCACCAGCTCTCTGCTGAAACTGCACTTCAACGCCAGATGCTGCTTTTTTTTCTCCCTTCTTTTTTTTTTTTGCTGGCAAAGCACATTTCTTCCTCTCTGCTTCCCCTCGCTCTCAAAGGATGGCCACATCAGTGCCAAAACTGAAAAACTGCTTTTCGTTTTCTTCCCCCCCTGCTTAGGGATGCCTGCGCCTGCAAAGGACACGCACACACACACACAAATATGGACTTAGAAATGAAAAATAACAAAGAAAAGAAAGATGGCATGATATCAAAGAGAGATACCGTGTTTTCCACATGTTCAAAACCATGTTAATGTTATATGATATCTAAAAACAAAAATGCAACCATTTCTTACTTTAATAAATCCTTTGGTTAAAGCTCATTATTAAAGGAGGGGGATGCAGGCATTCATCTCTTACTTGGAATTAGGAAGACATTTTTTTACTAAGGCAGAAAAAGGAACGCATGACCACGTGTAAAACTTTGGTTCATCTTCAAACCCTGATCATTGTGAACCCATCCAACCCTCCGCGTTAACTTGCCATGGATGTGAGTATGTCTGAGGTACGTGGCTGAACTTGGTCTATTCTGGGATTTACATCTTGTTAAAACAGATTAAGAGTTTAAGTGCAAAGTCACGGCATCCACCTGACTTCTGCAGGCCCACGAAAACAGTCGAGACGATTCGGTTAGGAAAGCAACGGAAGGATCTGGACATTGTTTTTGATAAATAGGTGAAAATGGAAGGAAAGTGAAATGAAGATGAAAAGAAATTGTGATTTTGGAAGAGACACTTAGTTGAGAGACAATGACAGAGGACAGACAACACAACAAGACTGATTCTTTCTTTTTTTTATTTTTTATTAGTCAACAAACAAGACAGATAAAGACAATACAGACAGAACACAAAGATCGAATATAATGAAGGAAAATGGACAAACGAGAAGCTACACTCACAAGTGGATCATTCAGGATGATGTTAAGACGGACAGATAAACAATAACACACATGAACTCTACGGTGAGAGACGTACTGTACAAGTGCAACGATTCAGCGCTGACCACAACAGCAGATCGAACACTGACAGGAACCGCTTAAGTAGAGCGTTGGAGAATTTAGGCTTAAAATATCTGTGGCTCAGACAGGAAAGGTTTAGAGACAGAAAACATCTTCTTTGGTAGGAAACAACACACAGCAGTCAGTCACCGTGCTGCCTCTGAACGCACATCAAGAACAAGTGAGACATCTGGGCCCCCTCTAGGTGCTTTTGTAGCTACAACACTGCTTTTCATAGTTCTGGAATTCATCCACACGGAGCTCCTGAAATCCAGTTCAGATAAGACTGACAAGATGTCATCGGTGGGAAACATACATAATTCAGATTTCATAATGTTGCCTGTCTCACCAAAAAAGGGCAATTCTTTACGCAGACTATTCTTCCTGTTAAAAGCATGATAGTGCTTCTAATTTGATATTATTAGACTGATAGAACATTTTTTTAAATTTCAGCAGTTTCTCCAAGATTTCTTAAATTTGAAGAGGAAACATGCTGGTTTAAATGCCTAAAATTCTAGTTTAGGGATCCACAGAGTTGCTTTGTGGATTTTTTTTTTTCCTATAAGAATAGCATATCTTTGCTGATAAATGGTGCTTGATAATTTAACATGGCATTAATTCAACTGAACATAAAAGTGGTTGTGGGTGTTTTAATGTAGAAAGAGAAAAAAATAATGAATGGAAATAAAAATACTTGCACCTCTCCTGCAACCCCCTGTCTAAAATTCTCTGTGTAGCTTCTGTCTCAATAAGGCCCCCCCTCCCGAAAGGCCCAGTATTCCCTGTTTCGTCAACTAGTTCACACAAAAAAAAGGTAATTTGAAAGATAGTTGCTCATGCCACTCTAGAAACAAGCACCATTATCCAAATATTTTATAGTCATGTCATGGAGCAGAGAGGGAAAGGTCTGAACGACAAATTCCAGGCAGTTCAGAAAACGTGCCCTTTGTGGGAGAGAAAAACTCTGGTTTTTACTTTGTGACCCTTCTATGTTGCACAAATTCTACACAAAACGTTTAAACTGAGTGAAATAATCAAACAGCCATATAAGTTTGTGTAAACCTCCATGAGCAAAGCAGCTTCAAACATTGGATAAGTAATGGTGGACTTCTTCTGAAATGACACGTTATCTAAAACAAGGAATATATCTTTTCTGACTGGATAAGTACATGAAAGTCAGTTAAATAACACCTACAGGAAATAAAGTGCAGCAGATTTTACCATTTTAAGGCACAAGAGTTCTGTAGTACTTGACATCAAGCCACAGAAATCCCTGATGTGTGTGGTGTGCTGGAAATAAACACCTCTTCAATGCCCTTGTTCGGAAAACTACTGGCCTCTCCCATCTACCATTGATTAATGATCCAAACAAATGCACAGACAAAACTCCCAATCCCACTGTGCAACCACAGTGGCAGAGAGAAGCGCGCAAACATGCACTCAATCGTTTCCTCCCCAGTCCACCTCTGGCCCATCATCCAGCCTGAGGATGAGGTAGGAGAGCAGCTGGAAGAGGTTCTGCCACAGCAGGAAAGCCACATAAAAGTAAAGGTCGCTTACATCCGTCTGGCACACGTCTCCAGCGAAGCTCATGTCGCACACGCAGACAAATTTGTTGATGAGGTTTCGACAGTAGCCTCCGTTCAGGCAAGGGTTGGAGTTGCATTCATCCACTTCCATTTCGCACCTACGGAAACACAACCACAGTCCAGTCAGAGGCACGCGGAGAAAAATTCTTCGAGAGTGCCCGGCTCCTACTTTCAAAATCAATACTCTCCTCTTGAGAGACCCCGCACAAAAGGTTAGTATGTGCCATGCAAAGAAAGCCGTTAAACAAGGTGTTTTACTACAATAAAGACAATTAAAAAAGGTGTTTAATGTTTCTTTCAGTGTAGAAATCTGACTGGTTGCCTGTCAGGAGCATAGACATGTAGTCAGGGATTGTGAAGCAGCTGATTAGCATTAGCTATGCAAGCAGATTCAGTTTTAGAAACCTACAAAGGAGATATTTTTAACAACTGCTGCTTATCTTAAGGTGTAGCGGTCTGCTTATGTCACTCCTTTACATAAAGAATACAATCTCTGGCAAAGTATAAAATAGGTATTTCTTTTTAACAGTGTATTTGTGTTTTATATCATGTATTACATTTTCACATTTTGGTCCAAATTCTGTAATTTGACCAGAATGTTGTTTTTTTATGGTTATTGAATAATTTTTCAAACGGCAGTGACACATATTCCGTTTTGGTTACGTTCTTTCCGGTTCATTAACAACTTAATTATAAAATCTCTGTGCTTACTACCTGTGAACAAAATCAAGTTCACATCCCATTTCAAGCATTTGCTAATCAGGCTTTAGAAGAAAGATCCACAATAATAATAAACGCATACTGGAGCATTTTTTGATGATAAGTTTATGGGGAAAAAACTGTTGCAGACTAAAGTATGTGACCACGTTTTTAGGATGCCGTTTTAAGATGTTTCACATTTGTGTTGAAATTTTAATGTTGCTTTGTAGTGTTATTGTTTTTAATTTTGAAATGTATTTTTTCTTCTGTTTCGTCGTACCTTTACTTAAAAAAATTTCAAATTGGATTTGAATTACTGTAATGATAATGGGTGGATGGATGAATGAGACTACAACCGAGCAGAAAATACGTTAAGTTTACAGTTTGCGATATATCACATTTTCTCGTCTTTGATTCGTCACTGCTTTGATTAGATACTCATTTCCTTCCTACCGGTGCCCAGTAAAGCCTGGTGGACAGTCGCAGGAGAGTTCTCGGTCAGTGCAGTTGCCGCCGTTGAAGCAGGTGTAATTTCTGGTGTCATCACCACACACAGAAACGGGCAACTTGGGCCGCCTTCTGCAAAACAATCAGAGTAAGAAGGTAAATGCTTGGGTTATTTGAGGTTTATTTTTCATAAAGTTGGCATAGGTGGTAACAGAAACCACTAAGTAGGTGCTATTTTGTCCCACCTCCCGCTGTTCCCAGTAGAAGAGACAAAGAGGCTTAGGATGCAGCCAGGATAATAAGATTACTGACCTCTGTCCAACACTAGCAGGATGTCAAATCACATGTCCAGGAATGAAGAAGCAGCTGTTGCTCTGAAACTCTATTTTCTGTCTCGTGTCTCGAAATTAGCTCCCCGATGGTAACAAAAATACACACTCATTTTTCAAAATGTACAATTTCGGTAGCAGAATCTTCTACTGGTATCATCATTTTGAGCCCCAACTGTCACTCACTGGAAAAAGCTGTTGGCTCATTCCACAACAAAGATTGTCAGGGGGAGTGCTAATATTTGCTTTTCTTGGCATTTTGTTGCACAAAGTTGAACAAAAGAACAGGAGACATCGCACATGACATTTGAGAGACAAATATCTGAGAAGAAACAAACACCAGGGAACACAGGAGGAAAAAACTCACTCTTTTTTGACAATGTACCATGGAGTTTCTTCAATGCGTTCACTGCAGAGGAGAAGAGAAAAAGACGGTGAGAGGAGGAAGAAAGAGGCACAAACAACAGAAACAAACAAAAGGAAGTCATTTGGATAAAAACTATACGCCGTAGATGTTCCCAGAAAAGGGAGATTGCTTGACTGGTTGCCTGACACTTGCAAAGATTCTCCATGTGCAAAGGAGACAAAATGCAAGAGGCTCTGTGTTTACGGGATAAATGCTTGGAGGCGTTCCCCCTGCTGGTTCTCAGAGGCAAACAGTAGATGACAAGAGGAAGGAACTGGCGCTGAACCAGAGAGCCTTGTTTAGCGCGGCGCGGCGGCAGACTGAGGCCTTCTTTGGCTGACACTAGAATAGAAACGAGGCTTCTGAGACGCTCGCTGCAGCGCTGGTTGAAATGCTGAACACAGGCGAAGATGTGGAGACATTTTACGGTGAGGGGGTTTTGTTTGTGCTGTGGTGCAGCCCCTGTGAAATATTTGCCACATTTGTGCGTTTTGTGTTTGTTAACGCTTTCGGTTCTTGTCATCTGAAATGAAGACCTTTTCGGAGCAACGAATACATCTGTGACCGGGATCGTTTCTTGTCTTATTGTCTTCTCATTCCACGAGCTATTTGCAATCTTTTCTACCCGGCAAATTCCGGCTACCATTTGAACTTACTTGCAGAAGAGCCCGGTGTAGTTTTCGGGGCAGAGACAGGAATAACTGTCCGGCCCATGCAGGCAAAGCCCCCCGTGGGCACACAGGTGATTCTCACAGACGTCCACCTCCTCTTCGCAGTCAGCACCGGAGTAGCCGAACTCACAGGTGCACTCGTAGGTGAGCCCGTAGACGCTGCAGTTGCCGTGGATGCAGGGATTTGAAATGCAGGCGTCCACGAAGAGGTCGCAGCGCCTCCCTGCCCAGCCCTCGGGGCAGGTGCAGTTGTAGGCGTTGAAGAGATCCTGGCACTCTCCATTGTTCAGACAAGGGTTGGGCTCGCACACCGAGGCCCCGCTGCACCCGGCCAGAGGAGCGTCTGGTGACGTTTGGACGAACTGCTCTTTCTGCAGGCGTGGGAGGTTCACCTCAGAGGAGCTGAAGTAAGACAGGGCCAGGCCGCCCAGCTCCACGGTGCTCATGCAACCGGCCAGGGACCAGCCCGCATCAGGGGCCAGGCCCCCCAAAAAGATGTCCACATCCTGTCTGAGGAAATTCAGGTTGCCGCCTTGGCTCCGGGAAATGCTGGCCTCCTCTATCTCTTCATCCATCACCAACGTCCAGCGAGAGGATCGATCCCACGGCGCTGTCATAAACAGATGGACAGCGTGCCACTCACCATCGCTGACAACCCTCCTGCTGCTGAGGCTGACGGTGGACACGCCCTCCTCTTGCCCCCGCCCGTCAGTCACAGCAGCATCCCCCTCAGGGGTGCTCTGGAGCTCCATGAAAAGGACCCCGTCCTGGATGGAAACCGTTATGAAAGCTGAATCCTTCTCTGCGTGGAGGATGGCAGCGTTACGCTTCCTCGTGCGCAGGCTTAGTGAGATGTCGGTTAGGTTGCGGAAAATGTGGCCATTTCCCCGGTAAGATAACACAGTGCTGTCGTTCATGAAAGTTGCGTTGGAGTAGCCTGGAGATTGAGACGAAATAACCGAAATTACACATACTATAAAGCACCATTAATTCTGTTATGAAAGTGGACGTAAATCTATGAGAAACATCCTTGGTAATCTAGCATTTAAGATTTTTTTATCATATAAATCAAAGTTAAAACTGAATGAAAGATTTTGACTGAGATAAATCAAAGAAAAACATGAGGTGAACACATAACAGAGAAGGTACTTATTCTGAATAAGCTCATCAAAGAAAAGAGGGTGGCTAAAAGGACAGATACAAAACACAGAGATCCCTCACTAATCCATACTTAAAAACGATAAACTGACTACAGTACAGATCCTACTTTACGGATCAGATATAGAAAACTGTGAGGCCAGTGAGGCCGGTGAGTAAATGAAAGCACACAGTGGCTACTTAAGAGTAATATGACTAACTCCACAGACAGAAGTCAGAGATTATACAATGTACATTTATGCTAATCACTACTCTAACAACAATGCGTTTGTGTAATAAGTAAACACTGGAAATGCACCCAATTTTCCCCCCATAGATTTGGTCAGAGTAAAAAAAAGGAACAGTTTAAAAATACATCAAAGTGTAATTTTACGGCTGAATTGCTCTGGTCTGGATATTTGTGATCATTTGGAGTCATTTAAAGGGTGCCCAACAGCAGCTCGTTTCTGGCTCGTTTTGGTGACTTACATTCGTATCCGTGGTTCAGCATTCTGCACTCTGCATCTGAGGGGCATGGCGACAGGTCACACCACTTGACCTCCTCGCAGCGCCGCCCCGATGTGCTGGGCGGGCAGGTGCAGGTGAAGTCGTCCCACTTGGAGAAGCACATCCCCCCATTCAGACACGGATTTTTCTGAAGGTAAAAATAAAAAAACAGAACATGCCAGTTTTTAGGTTTCATCATGTATTGTCTTTTTCATAATTCAGTTTTAATCATATTTTTATGGTCAATATTTTTTGCCAATGCTTTTTAAACTGAGCTTATTAGAGATGCCCTATGAATCGGAAGTATTTGCTTTATATACAGGTAGTTACATTAGAATAGGTTGGTTTGAACTGTGGGGTTGCATTTAATACACAGATGTAGCAGTAAATGTGGCTCGATGTCAATGAGATCTCATTTAAAGATGACATCTTTTAGTTGAAATTCCTGTTAAATACCTGCATATGCTAAATCCTAGATGGTTACAAAAGCTGTTAAACAAATCTCTCTGTGTTTACTCACACTGCAGGTGTTGTCTCCGGTGCAGCCAGTGGTCACATTTTCCATGAGCTCAAGAGGATAAGATCTCACTGAGGTGTCCAACCCAAAGAACTGCAGCCTCCTGTCACTGATCCTCAGATCCTGGATACAGCCTTTGAAATATCCACCGAAGAATGAAGTGCTTCTCCTTTCCAGCAGACCTCCTACGTAAACAGTGTCCCCTGCTTGGACATCGATTGTGCCCACCTCCATATCACCCTGTCTATGACCTGCTACGTACAGTGTCATCTGACCATCAACCACTTCCAGGTTAACAAAGTGGACTTCTCCATCGTGAATTGCGCGCCCTGCCTGCAGTGTGTCGTGGTTATGGAGCTGGACTGTGACCCTTCCGTCCTCCAGCCACATGCCCAGGTACTGGCTGCCGTTGTTGGCGAGAACCAGGAGGAGTTCGTGGCGCTTTCGTGTGCGCAGGAAGAGAGAGATGGAGAGGTTCTGACCCAGATCATCAGTGATGGTGAACACCGCGTAACTGTGAGAGTCCTCACTCCCGAAGCGAGCAGTCACATGTTCTGCAATAAGGGTAAACAGCATGAGGAGACAACAATCATTTGAAGATTTCGGAAGTCTGCATGTATAACAGGATGTAATATTTACACTTTACAATAAAAACAGAACAACATGTATCATGATATTTAAAAAAAAGTCTACTTGAAGAGTAAGTAGTAATGGCCTTTAATTATTATTATTGTTTAGTTATAACAGCAGTCTTTCCTTGACATAATAGTGTTGTATTTCCATTCATGATCTGATTATTTCCAAAATAGAATCCCTTGCATCCGTAATCCAGAACATCAGATTAGAGGAGCTTCACCTCTGCCTCTTTACCTTGGCTTTTGACAGGTGAACTCTCGGCAACAACAGTGAGTGGATAAGGGTTATTCAATGCCCCATCTTAGAAATTTGGTAGCTCTCATGTGGTACTTTTTCATTCAATTAAAGGGATATTTTATATGTGCAAATCTAATTCATAGAATAACGTTATCAGTGCCTATAACAAATAGCATGGAAGTCTCCCCTTAATGTATTTCTTTGTGAGATTTAGACTTTTGTTTTTCTTTCAGTGTGCTACGTACCCTCTTCACAGTCATGCCCCTCATAAGGCCTTGGACACTGGCACTGGTAGCTCTGCCACAGGTTTACACACTGTCCTCTGTTTTGGCACGGCACGTCCAGGCAGCGGTCCCTGTGGCTGCAGCCCGGGGACACATTGACAGCAGAGTCGCTCAACCATTGCTCAGGAACGACAAGCTGCCAGTCCACAAACACATCCCGCATGCATCCAATAAACGCCGGAAATGTCGAGTACTCACTTGGACCATTTTGGTCCTTAAATATTCCCCCAATTAAAGTGTTTTGAGGTGACGTAACACGCTCTGAGATATTGCTTTGGACCGGGACCACGAGGTCACATGCTTGGCTTGCGCAGGTGGCGACGTCGCTCAGCAGCTTCAGGCTAAGAACCCAGTTTGCGAGCACAGCCTCTACGGAGTGCCAGTCTCCATCTGTGACATTGTGTGGAAGCTCCAACACCTGATTGAAGCTTTCTGCATCAGCCCCGGAAGAGGCCTCAGTCTCGGTCCTCAGTGTGAGACGTAGCTGCCCCTCAGCCAGCACCAGGCTCAGCAGCAGCCCCCCGGTGTTCCGCTGGAACAGCAGGGCCGTGGGCATAACAGTCTTAAAGCTCAGGGTGATGTTGCAGGCCACCTCGGCATCCACAAGGGGGTTGTTCAACAGCAAGTAACCTCGGCGTTCGAAGGAAAACGTGGTGGCAGTCTTACATAAGGGTCCAGTGTAACCAGGTGCACAAGAGCAAGTGTATCCGTGCGTTCCGTCCAACAGAAAAGGAGAGCAGGAGCCTTGATTCTGGCATTCGTGGCCCTCGCAGCCCACTAGCCGCACATCACAGTTCACACCTCCATAAATAGTGTCATCGGGACTCTGTTTGAGGCAGTGGCAAGTGTAGCCTCCAACATTGCTCTCACATCTGCCCCCATTCTGGCATGGACTGGGCTCACAATTGTTCATAACCGCCTGGCAAAGGGAACCTGTCAGTGGAACAAAATGGCAATGTCAAACGAAGAACTTGTCACTATACCTATTGAGAAAAAACAAACAAACATCAAACTCGTGTTCAAAATTATTCCAACCATTAAGCAGGTAATCGCCATTATTCAAACTATATTTACAATGGAGCATTTCATGGTCTTCAACATTTTTTAACATTTAATTCCATAGTTTTTCTTTTTTATAATTGATCTTTGTGCTGGTGATATGGTTCCCCTATTCTCGCCACACATATTGTGGATATTTACACAATCACCAAACACAAAATAATGACTCTCAACATCCAAAGTTTTCAAATTTTCATCTTGTGAAATCTTTGCATATTATTCTATTCCATTTGTCAATTTTTACTTTCAAACAAATTTTAAATCCACATCTATATTTCTTAAACTGTAGAACACTTGTTTTATTCAATGGAAGGTAAAGATAAAAAAACAAAACAGTTTCTGAATGCCTATGATGTAACTGCATTACACATTCTGTTCAAACAAAGACTCTGATGTTACCTGTTCCAAGCACCAAAATCCACAAAATCCATGGTGCAGGTGTCCACATCATGCTGTCGCGTTTGCCCCAAGAGCTGCCCCAAAATTGTCTGTCTGCACCATATTAATTTGTGTTTGTATCAGCCATCCCAGTTTAGGTCTGCTCCTTGTGTACTTCTCACATAGAGCTGAATAGCTCCAGTCAGGAGACCAGCAAAGCCAGATCCTGGGGATTAAGATAATGCTATTTGGCCACCTCACTGAGTCAGTGCCACTGCCACTGGCAGAGAGTCAATTTTTAGAACACAATTCTCGACAGGCAACAGCTCACACTCTTAGCCACACTGCCAGACCAAGTTGTGTATCAAGAGAACTTCTAGCTTTTGCAAGAGAAAAGCATTGTTTGATATAAGATCTCCAGAATGATCCACAATTGATTATGATGATTTACAATAAATTAACAATTGAATTGATATATCTTTTTCAAAAACATACATAAATATAAATATAATTCCTATATATACACTTGGTCCAATTTCAGTTTAGAATAAAAAATTATGGCAGCATGGTGGTGTGGTGGTTAGCAATATTGCCTCACAGCAAGAAGGTTGCCGGTTCGAGTCCCCAGGGGAATCATGACATTTCTTTGTGAGGTTTGCATGTTCTCCCTGTGTCTGTGTGGGTTCTCTCTGGGCTTCCTCCCACCATCCAAAAACATGCGTGTTAAGTTAGTTGAACACTCCAAATAGCCTCTAGGAGTGAATATGAGTGTGTGTGGTTGTTTGTCTCTGTATCTCTGTGTTCCCTGCCTCTTGGCCGTTGTCAGCTGGGACAGGCTCCAGTGACCCCGTTTGTAAAAAGTGGTATAGAAAACAGATGGATAGATAATAATAGGACTTAAAGGATATTCCTGTTATCTGTGTGTATTTTCTGCTATTGCCACTGGAGGGCAATAAAGTGTTTGTTTCCTCCCAGTCACTGCCATTTATATTGTGGAGCTACAGATTGACTTTACAATTCTTTATTTTCATTGGCTGTCTCCATGCCATTAAGCTGTGTTCTGTTTGGCTAGTTCCCTGTAAATTACCACAGCAACTTTATAATTTGTGCTGTATATTTTGACATCCCCATTACAGTATTTTCCCTGTCGGGTGAGATGCTTCATTCCTCTGATCAAACATCTCCTAAACAAACTGAAGTAAAGCCTACCTCGGTTTTTTTAAGCTGGTTGTAAGTATGAATTATAATAGATCTAGATTCCGATAAGGTTGACATGTTTCCACATGGAACCACAACTGGAGAGCTGTGTTATTAATAAGCTACCTGTTGTTCCTAGAGGACAGATGCAAATGGAGCCCGAAGCCTGATGCTGATCATGCTTTTAGGGAGTGAAGGCTCACTGCCATGCAGGCCCTGCCAAGATCAATATAACTAAACACTCAAGATGTAACATTTTCATTTTAACTGGAACAAATAGGGGCTTCACTTGCCAGGCGAGCAGTCGCAGGTGTAGTTACCCTGGTTGTCCTTACAGATGGCACTGTTAAAGCAGGGTTCAGAGTAGCATGGAGGTAGCGGCGTCTCACAATGTTGACCAGTGAAGGCTGTGTTTGAGCAGTCACAGCTGTATCTGACAAAACATCCCAACAAGAAACTTCTGATTGAAAATTCCATTTAAAATCAAAGTATTTCCGGCATTTTGATCTGTGTTCAAAAGTGAATCGCATTAACTGTAATACATCTTCAAAGCCTGGGGCTGGGCTACTTACTCATTCACCCCATCTATACACAGAGCCCCATTTTGGCATGGCTGCTCCTGGCACTCATCAATGTTGATTTCGCACTGGTGTCCTTGGAAACCGGGAGGGCAGGTGCATGTAAAGCCCCACTTGTAGTTATGGCAACTGCCACCGTGGTGACACGGCTGTGATTGACAATCGTCAATCTGGATCTCACATAAGGTCCCTGTGAACATCAAAGCACGGCAGATGTCAGAGGGCAGATGAGGCTGCAACACGAGACTGAGGGCAGAGGGCAAAAATGAGTAAAGCTTTCATGCGACTGACTGTGATCATGTGTGGATTGCTCTTTTATGTCCACAAAGCTTCTCACAGCAGCTGTTTGCCACTTTAAAGCTGTTTTCTCTACGCGGTATTTCTTTCAAAGTGAATGTGTGACTGAATAAGGTAGGTTTAGTTCTATTTTATCCTCAGAAAAAAAGAATGTGAAAATTTGTCAGTTATTTATGAAAGATGCTCATTTTCCACTGTACTACGTGTAAAGTTGACCAGACTTGTGAGGCAACAATCAAACTAAACTTCTCTTTTAATCGAGCCAAGTTACGTCTTGATGCAAGCAGCTAGAAATGTTGTAATACCAAGTTCTGTTAAGTTTACAGTGATCCTCCTGATGCATCATACTCACCGGTGAATCCAGGCAAACACGCACAGGAGAATCTACCCACTCTGTCCACACAAGTGGCTCCATTCCTGCACGGCTGTGAGACACACTCGTTCACATCAATATGGCAATGAGCACCCTGGAAACCTGGCACACAGAAGCAAGAGTAGCCATCCCCGCGGGTCCTGCATAGTGCTCTGTTTTGGCACGGGTTTGGGGAGCACGCGTCCACTTTTGTTGGGAGATTTTCTGTGGATGCACCTGAGAACACACGAAGTTTCATAGCATGGTTTAGTCGACTTCCATGGTTGCTGCAATACTTTTTATGAAGTGCTGTCGGCTACAACTGCTGCATTTGTTGATGGCTTATGCAGCTGTGGAATGACCCAAGGATAAATTATGAGACAAAAATGAAAAATCTTCAAACTCTTCATGATGCCTTTAAAGAAAGCTTTACAGTTCCACCAATTGGCTTTAATGTTTCAATTTTACACTCTGTGACACAATGATGTAATGCACCAACAAATAAAGATGGATTTGACTCACTCTTAATTGCTGTTTTAACTGGATTGTGTCTGTCAAGAACCTCTTTTCCATCTGTTAAGATTTTATTTAAGAAAAATAAGTGTAAGCAGTTGTAGCTACAAGGGCTTTATTTGTAGTGGGGTTGAGAGGCTCTCAGGACATCACAACTAGTTACCAGGGTAACTAATCTTTACACATTTCCATGGTGATAGCATCATAATGAAGATCTCAGCCATTTATCCCTCATACATTGTGATGCTGTTCAATCAAAAGGGACATAACAACCACAGTGCAGAAGCAGAGTTTAAATTTAGATTTCAGTTAACACATGGTGGAATTAGTCATTGTTGGCTAATTCATTCCTTTAAAAAATGCTAAGAATACTGTTTGTGCGATAAGCATAGCAAGTTTTACTCCTAATAATCAATTGTTTATTAGCAATAACACATCTAATAGGCTAACTGATTTTGGTAAGACCTGAGGATAATGGGAAAAAAATTGATTAAGCTGAATCATATTTGGTAAAAGAACATGCATTTATTGGGTGATATTTTCCATAATGTTTGCTTCTGCTTACAACAACACCTGTTCTTCAGGTTGGAAAAAAAGTTAATATATTGGCCTGCAAAAGCAAACTTATAAGAAACCTGAATAAAATGACGCACCTTCTTTCAAGTCATAAATCATAACCGCCTTGAGACTTAGTCTTTGCAGCAATTGCACCACATTTGCTAGAAAACATCAGGCACAAATGGATTCTGGCAAAGCATCTCAATAATGGGATGCTCCAGGCAGAATGAAAGAGCCCAACTCAAAGGCAATGATCCTTGTAATGCATAGGACGTCAGGGGACACAGAGACTCAAAAAAGGAGGCTTCAAATCAGCTCAAGTGCCGCTTCTATCAGATGAAAATCAAACTAATGCTTATTACTTAAAGACTTGAACACGCTAGGTGAATATCAGAAGGATGAGACCATTATGAAAGTATATTTTGCATTATGGGCACGAGTAAGATTAGGAAAAACATCATGAAGCTATAGGCCATGAAATGTTGCTTAAATGACCTGAGATCATCAATCTCAGGTCTCCAATAATCACACAAAGTAATCAGGCTTCAAGAGCACAATCAGACTGAGAGACCAGAGAGATGTAAAGCAGAACAATTTCACTCAATCCCGTCAGACACTAATCATCTGTCATCACTGGAGGTCAGTAAATTCCACAGAGGAGCATCTTATAGGTCACAAAAAAAAAATCAAACACCAATGGATTTCTAAAAATGGCTTATCAAATATTGAACGCTCCAGACAGAACAAATGAAACCAGCTGAGTGATGTGCATCTAACCCATAAACATGATCAATTTCAAGAGATGATACACTGACCAGAACCCTAAAATAGTCAACATTATGCCCGGAATCAGTCTTTTACTACAAATGGAATCCATGTCAGAAATTAATTTAGCAAGGATGTCCCGTTTTTTACTCAATCCACTTGTCTTTCAGTGTTCCTTTGTGGTACAGCTCAGATGCTTTTGAGCCAGAACCTCAGCTCCAGCCAAGCCCACATCCCCTCCCACAGCATGTAAGCCTTCTTCATATGCAAATACCTTCTAAGGGTCTTTGTTTAGTCCTATCTGGAGGTCCTCTAATGGCACATGTGGGTCACCTGACATTTCCCTTGCGCTGATGCATGTTGCTTCCGTATGGGTCTGTGCGTTTGTTTCAACGGAGATAAGAAGACATGTCGTTACCGGCTATTTTGAAGGGCAACAGAGACTTTAGTGCAAACCCCTTTTGTTCAGTCACTTGCCCACAACCCCTCTGGTCTTCCAAACCTTTTCATGGGTTACTGTGCCACCCTCCTCCCCTGTTGTTAGAGCTCTTTCACTCATCTTTAGGCTTTCAATTCAGATAAAAATTGTATAGAGATTAATAGAGGCAATGATGTCACCTCACAGTCATGTAATTGAAATTCCAAGCATGGACTGTTTATAAAACAAACTAATCAGGCTCAACACAGAGAAGATGGAAATGAATTAGACATAATTTACTCATTCTTTTGAGAACCATTCTGTGTTAAAGATATTAAATGCATATTTTCTTATTTTACTGTTCAAGACATCAGTTAAGTAGCACGTTTCTCCACATAAATGTGAACCAAACTGTAGTAAACTGGAAACATGCCAAATCTGACTGTTGATGCTAAAACTTGTATAGAGACAATAACAATAAGCTGACACAATGAAGCATTAAAGTTGTTGTTTTTTTAAACCTTAGTAAATATTTCAGAATAAACTAAAATTCATCTTAAGAGCCACTTACCGTGTATCACAAACAGTGCAGAGATGAGAATTGCGGGTGCAATAATTTGCAGTTTACGATAATGAATAAAATCCATAATCATGACAGGAAAACATCCTGTTTGCTGTGTTCGGGTCTAATCAGTAATAGATCTCTCTTCTCTTGTATGTTTCTGATTCTGCCTGCAGCGTAGTCAACTTCAGACATACTTGATGCACACTTCGAGCTGGAGCACCATCAAGAGCCTCCATCACAGACGACAGGATTAAGACTGGAGCGTGGCGTTCTGACACACACACACACGAACACACACACACACACATACTCGAACACACACTCAAACATTCATGTGGGGGGTCGTGTTAAATCTCCCTGTTTTCGTTATTTTTTCCCCAAAGAAAAAAAAGCATGTGCTATAATTTCTTTGAATAAACGATTTTTCAATTTGTCAGATATTTTTTAAACAAACATGAAACCATCCATCTGCAAACAAAAAAATTGAAGGTAACATTTTAAGTAAACTTAAATAGTTTCTTCATGGAAACAAGTGGCGTTCAATTCTTTACGTTCCGGCATGAACGTCTTGCTAAGCATTGTGTTGCTCTTAATTGAACTAAACTGAACATCTGCTTGAATAATTTTTGTTGTCGTGAGCGAAACAAACGGCTTCAACTGCTCCTCCAAATCGGCCGTGTCGGACTGTCCCTCTAGTGGCCACGCGTTTCCATAGCAACCCAACCAGGAAGCTGGAGGACAGTAGATAGCAGAGGGGACAGCTGCCTCTTTTTAAAAAAAAAAAATTAGTTTTCACTCACATGGCTTGGTCGGAGCTAAAAGTTCTTATCGCCATAACCTAAAGGGGAGAGAGGGGGGCAAAGCCCGGCTGAGAGGCCAATATGTCTGCGTCCGTCCGAGCCAATTCAGCGCCAAGTTCGTCGAGGCCGAAGCGAGCATCGGACACCACAGGTGACGTTAATTATGCAGCGCAGGGAGGCTGGCGTAACGCCGGAGCGTTCGTCAGCTAATACCTGCATTCTAAGAAAATAAAAACACTGGCTGTAGTTTGAATAAATGCGCTCCACCTTTGGCCTCACAGGCTTACGTTGATTATTTCCACTGTTGTCACGTATGCTGTCACCCTTCTGTGCCCCTAGGGAGGTGTTAGAATACTAATCATTTTATTGTGGCTAATTTATGTAATGGTAAAAGACAACAACAATTTTTACTCTCTGCAGCTTGTTTTACTAAATGTTACAGACTAGGAGAGTGCAGCAAACAGTTCATACTGGTACAGTATGGTTAAACCATATGGATTTATACCATAGCAATATTTTCTGATATCACATAACTTTTCTGTAAGGGTCTTAAAAGGTCAAGTAACCACGCATCCTTGACAAACTAGCAATCTACTCCTAAAAGTGGTGATATTTTGAAATGCTGCGTACATCCCTTCAAAACGTTCCAGTTGTCAATAAAACATCCTCTGCCTCACTGCAACAAATACAAAACCAAAAGAGAAGTTTGAAATTGACATATTGAACGTAGATCCAGCATGTCTTCATTTCGCATCGGTCTCAGTATAGTTGTTTGTTTGAGTTTGATGGGGGGTATTTTCTTTTTCTTTTTCTTTTTCTCAGTGGCAGAGCTGAATATTCAAGTTCCAGCAGAGACCAAAAAGAAACAGCCTCTACCTGCCAAACATCTGGGCATTCCGGATGAGCTCCTGGTCAGCCTTACCTCCACTGTTTGCAAAGGGAGCACACAGGGGCACACCTCACACCGGCGGCAATGTGAGGTAAATAAAACATTTTTGTTGACAATGTTTCATATACTGTATGTAATGCAAATTTAGTTATAATAATTCACAGTTGGGCAGACAGGAAAGGAATGTCGTCCTCAATTAAATAGAAAATGAACAACAAAAATATTTACGGATTTGGAGCAGAAGTCATCCCGATAACACAAAAACACACCCCTGGCAAACTTACTGTAATTTTTTTAACAGAGCTGTGGAATCAGACGACCTGATGCAGTCTGGCATCATCCACTTGGACGCAAGAAATACAAATATTTTCTGGAGCAGCCTATGTCCTTCACTACAGCTGGGAGGTCAGTAAGTCAGAAAAGACTTGATATTGCCTCTGTGTATAAGCCAGAACTTAGTGATGGTTTGTTTTTCCTTAATCTTTAAAAGTCATCAGCAAAGAAAAGCAAAGAAAAACACTGAGTTTTTTTGGTTTTGGGCTTTTTCTTCCAATGGGGCAAGAAAACCTAGGATTCATTCAGTTTTTTACGCATTTTTGGCAGAAACGTACTTATTACAAACCTCGCATATGAAAACCAAGAATATGAAGATAAAGAGTGTTTATGTGTGACAGGAATAACAACAAGATGAGCTAAATCGAGATCAAGATTCAATATTTTAATAGGCTTGAATATATTCCACAATCAGCATAAAAACTAATATTTTCTGTATGGACGGTGTCCATATAGGGATATTTCATTTCTGTGTGATGCAGTAGTCAGCCAGAAGAAAACAACACCCCTCCCTCCAGTGAGTGATAAGAATGGCGTGGGCGACACACAGGTGAGCTTCCTTAACTTAGATAAGATAAAAGCATAGTGCTATTGACTCGATGGCAAAAATGTAGCTGTACTTCGTTTCGTTATTCTCATCATAATTGGAATTATTAATATTTTTATTACAAAAGCCCACATTCTGTTCAATATCTTAAAAGTTTGACAGAAAAAAAGGAAACAGATTAGATTAATTAAAAAACATCCCTTTCCCTTTCTTCCTGTTCCTGCCGTGAAACCTGACTGAATTATAGCTAATTGCCATTTATTTACAGAATTTATGTAACTGTGACTTGTTTGTCTTTCAGGACTTGAGTATTTCAGACAGTGTGATCCCTGAAGAGTATCACATAGTGAAAAACAAAGGAATACAGTCTCTCGAGTTCTACGAAGAGTGAGTGTCTCCTTTCTAATATTCAAACAAATCCTATCAGGTTTGTTGTATTACCTGACATTATCATTTTCAGAGCTTTTTTTTAACGCTTCTGGCTGTTTTTCTCCCACAGTGCCTTCACAGTGCAGCTTAAGGATGAGGAGCAGAAGTTACGGGTCCTTCCATCACTGTGAGTTAAATAAAATACATTTTTCAAATTGACAAGAAGATGTTAGTCCAATACCCACTGAGAGATTTTGCTGGTTGGATTAGAAATTGTTCAGTCTAATAGCAATCAACTACAAAAAAAAAGAATGTTGCCCAGAGTAGGTGTAAACAAGTTGTAGTAAGGATTTGTATGAATTGTCGGTGTGTAGAAGGCCCAGTGGCAGACTGGAAGTGGTCCAGCTGATGACTATGATGGATGACATGCTGGAGAAGGCTGGAGTGGATCAGCAGAAAGATGAACTGACTGAGCTCTCTCAAGTAGGTTTAGTGTTTCTCTGGTTGAGCTGCAATCACGTACACAGCGTTTTCATTTACCCTCCTATCATAAGTCTCATCATTAAAACGGATTTTAATGTTTGTATTTGTGTTGTAGAAACTAAGAATTCACTGATCATACAGGCTATGTGATTTGTTTTACAGCTAGAGGGTCTACTTGACCTGGTGAAGACTGAGCAGAACATCTACAACATCGTTTTCCATGAGCTCATCAGGCAGGTTTCTGTGGGCTGTGCCGAGAGAGGACAACTACTCGCCAAACTTAGGTTGATTTATGTTTAATCGTTCTCACACAAGAAAGAATGTGTGGCATAACTTTGTCTTCTTGGGAAGAGTGGCATTATTATAGAATCTTTTTCTGTACTGGCTCACAAGACCTGATGTGTTTTAATCCAGACAGCGCTACCAGTCTTTGTTGGATAGAATCCCACGCCGTCTGAGGGCCCTACACACAGAGACAGTTGCACAACGGGCTCTGGATCGCCGGCTCACTGAAGAAATCAGCCGGATCAGGACATCCATACAGGAGCTGAACATGTATGTGGGTCTGACTTCGGGGTCATCTTATTCTGTTATTTATTATATGTAATGGAGAAATATTGAACGTAAGACATTTGTGAATGGTCTCTTCCCAGGGAACTGTCCAGAATCAGAGACCATGATGTTCTTGTGTCCCAGCAGGCAGAACACGCTCACCAGCAGCTGGCTGAGGCACTCAGACAAACTCACAGCTGCTCAGAGTCAGTGGATCATAAGAAGGAAATTACAGTTCACACACTTGAAATTACGACTTCAACAAGCTCAAGTGTTCCAAAATGAAGTAGAATTATGAATTACTCTTGACTGGTCAAACTATATTATCCTTCATTAGGAAAATGCTGAAAACATCTGTTAGGAGAAAAAAAAACAGCTGTAGTAATAAACATATTGTACGAGACATTTTACTAATCAGTTTGACAGCTTGGAATCCTAATGTGCTTGGCGTTATAGTTTTACTTTTTTCATTTTGAAATTTGTGTCATGAAGGCTAAGCAGGGGTGTAGCAGTATGTCAGTATTTATTTCTACATAATCAAAAATGATTTATGTCTTTTTCTCAGGGTGGTTCAGAGTTACCACGAGCTGTATGAGCTACAAAGGACTCGCCTGGAATCTCAGCTGTCCCACATGACTGAGAACAGAGACTACTGGAGCCAGCTTACCTTCAGACTTGCCCTAAAAGTAGATGAAGCAACAATTTTGTAGTCAGATTTTGTAGACACATAGACAGATTCAAAGAATAAAAGGTGTGAAAGATGGAGTTTGTCCTCTGTTAGGTGGTCAGTGTGAAGAGGCTGCATGTGGTTAGTCGTCTGCATGTGAGTCAGCAAGGGTGGTTCAACGCAGCTAACAACTGCCTACTCTTCCTCTCCTCAAAGGTAAAAGAGCAGCTCCAGTTTTTCAGTACAAACACCTCTTGTAAAGAGCTCTAGTGGCTCATTTACTCTGTTGCTCTGACCCATCTGCTCTAGGATACAGAGGACCTTGATAATGTACTGGAGTGTGCTGACAGCTGGAAAGAGCATTTGGCTGCTTTCATATCTGAGCTGAAGAAAACTGAGCATGCTCAATGCGCACAGATCAGGGCCACCAAGGAAGACATTGCCAAGTGGTTCTCCTTCCTCTCTGCACAAAATGAGTAAAGCAAAGCAAAATATGTTTAGTGCCATTTAATATTTTGGTGATTTCTATAGATATAAATGTTTTATTAACATTCAAGGTCTGCAGTTTACTCTGACGGAGATGTTCTTTTTCTTATCATTAGGTGTGTCGAACCAACATATGACAAAACGTCTGTGGAAGAAATTCATGCTGATTTGAAGCAGTGGTCTGATGTAAGACGTCATATTATTTTACCGGTATTTTACCTGTTTTTTAGTTGTCATCATGAATGTTATCCTTCTGGTGTGCCTTTTGTGTTTCGCTCATGTGTCCCTTATTTCTGGCACCGTACAATATTTCTACCATAATCTCTTTATCGTCGCATAATTTGATCGGTCAAATTTCTGAAACGTTTATGATCAAAATTATTGATCTTGTGAATTCCACCTGTCCACCTGTTGCATTCCTCGTATTCCTCTTTACAATTTAATTGTGATCCATGTCTTCATCTGTCTGCTGTGTCTTGTCACCCCTGTTAAGTGTTTGTTCAGCATGGAAAAATAGGAAGCATACACACAGATTTGAGCTGATTGGTGAGGCTTAGGGCTTGGTTTTATGCTGTATTTTTCTTCTAGCCAAAACACAGACTTTAATGTCTCATATAGTGTCCTTTCCAGTACTTAAGGCATTCCAAAATGTATTGTGTGATTACATTTAAGGTCAAACAGTGGACTTTCAATAGAAAAGTTTCCTAAGGTCTTCCCCAATATTGTTTCTGCAGATGTTGTTACACCAGTGTGATCATTATCAAGGTGAAGAACAGTTTAACTGTCAGCAGAAACTGGGGATACTTCGCACTATGCAGGACAACTGGTTGAATATCAGCCTTCAGCTGTTTGAAAGACACCTCTCTCCTAACGTTGAAGCCCCTCAAGGCCAACGTGTCTTAAGAGAGCTGGAAAAGAACCTTTTTGAGCTCCTGAAACAGCTGGACCTGCAAGTCAACGGGGAGAGTGGTGAAAGCCTGTTGTTGACAAATACTTTACTTACAATCCTCCATATATACAAATTCTTGCACTAGATAGTCTGTAATAATGGCCGACGATCTTTAAGATTTAAACACGCTGGCAGTGAATCTAATTATGCTGTTTTAGGCATTTCTGGACTCATCATGACACTGCTGCGGTCGATGGAATCCTGGATTTCCAAAACAGCTGCAGCAATTGGACAGCCAGAAGTGATGGCTCCCTCTGATTGGCTAAAGCTTGAGGGAGATTTGGATGACTGGCAGATATTAATTGAAGAAAATGCAGAGGACTTCTCATCCACAGAGAGAGAAACCCAAATGGACATGAATAAGATGGACATATAGTAGGTTTTTATTCAGTGGTATTACTAGTTTACATGTATTAACTATTAATGTCTATCAAAGTCATTTGTTTCAAACAGTGTAATTTATTACTTGCTTCATTTATCTGACTTTTGTATGCGTTCTTTTTATTTTTGTGAGTTTGAAGTTGTTTTTTGTATGGGTTTGTTCAACCAGCACAAAGACAGAAAAGTTGATTCATGATGCCCAGGAGCTCACAACCAGCCTTTCCGACTTCATTTACAGTGAGAACGAGAGGCTCAGAGAAGAGGTGAGTATAAGCCATTTAAAGCCAAATGAAAAGGAAATTTAAGCCCTAAAAGCGCAAAAACTGCAATGTCACTCTTTGAAATAAATCAGTCTTATGAAAGTGGAGCTGATGTGCTGCAGTGCCATAGCTCAGTGTAAGTGGCATGTAAAATACTTTATGGCAGTAAGGGTTGCTAAGACCCAACTTCAGGACCTCAGATTTGGTTAGAAGACATTGTGCCTTTTGTGCCTTTTGAAAAGCTTTGACGTCTCCTTTCCTCCCAGGTCAGCTCTGCTCACATGGCTCAGATACGTTGGATGTTGGATTTGTTGCTGGTTATGGTACCTGACCATGTAGAAGAGCTGCCCCAAGAACAGGAGCAACACAACACCACAAATACCTCACTAAAGACTCTGGATGGGGATGCCAGAATGCTGACTGACAAACTGGACTACATATCAGTTTACATTACCAGGTTCCCACATGTCACATCCAAGCAGACTTTAGGCACATCTGTAACTAACAGCTAACATGTTGTTATCTTCATTTCTTTTCCAAATGTTCTCCTTGCAAAGTAGATATATTTGACACACTTTAGAATTACATGCTATTTTGTTACGTAATTAATGAAGAATTGCTTGTTTTTTGTACTAGATCATGCAGCCTGATTCTGGAGGAGCAGGCACTCCAGGTCACATATAAAAAAAAGGGAGAGGATGAGTTCGATGAGTTTAGAGAACTGCAGGTAAATAATCTAAGTCTTTCTGCTTGCACTCACGCACAGTTGGGAGGCATAGAAGGGTGACCAATATCAATTTAAAGTTTATAAACCTTTAATCATTTCCTCAGAAAAACTGTGTTGATTGGACAGAGACCTGTAAATTACTCCTGGCAAAAGTCCACGGTGATCCTCTGGAGATGCCTATCAAGCAGCTTGCTCTCACATCCAGCAGCTCTGATCCAGGATCCAGGGCAGAAACTCAGGTGAAGGCTTGACTCACTCACAGTCAAGAAAAACACAAATTCTTGTGAAATATCAATTAATGACTGAATGAGAGATTTAAGGTGGTTGCACGTGTGTTCTTTTGTCATTTTCATGTTTAGTTTTTAGTAATTTAGATGGCAACAGATGAGATAAAGACAGGGGCTGTTCTTGTGTGGGAACTCACTTGGGTAACTCTTAGGACAGTTTCCTGTTCACAAATAGTTAAAATCTCCAAATTATGAGAGAGGTTCGACGTATTACTACCAACATCAGGTATGATTGTTTTTTTAAAGTTGATCGTATGTCTTCATAGGTGTCGACAGAAGCATCGGTTGAGCTTACGACAGACGATGTCAACGAGATTAAAGAGGAGACTGACGAAGATCAAAGAGAGGTTTGTCACTGATAAGCTTAAGTGAAAGATATTAAAGCTCTTTCCTTGTTTTTGTTAACATAATTTATCTGTTGCCTTTCGTATAGTTTGCAGAGGACTCACTTGTAATTGTAATTTTCATAAGTTGTTTTGGATATCTTATTAAAGTTCATGACCTGAATGCGTTCAACACTCAACAATACAGATTTGTATAACAGACATTGTGTAAGAGACATGTTTACATCTGGGAAAAACAACTTTAGGAAATGTAGAGCCTGTTGTAAAATAAAAAAGGATGTTTTATGATGGATGGATGGATGGATGGATGGATGGATGGACAATTGTGTTTTTGTTGCAGAAGCCTGGTTTAGTTTCACTCAGGTCATATTATCTCTGTGAAAATGAGCAGTTGTTCTCACCCTGCAGGGGGAGCTAACAGAATGTAAGAGCCCTTCAGTGAACATGATAAGCTACGATGGGAACATTACACAAAGAAATCTGGGAGAGAGCAGTGTGCACGTGTCTGGGGTGAGATATAAATATTTCACTCTTTGACTGTTCATACCGAAATGTTAAATTTATTCTGACTCAATCATGTGTCTGTCTGACCATTGTGTGCGATTGTCAGATTGAAGAGCCTGTTGTGTCTCCTACAACAGAAGAAGCCCAGAAAGCTCTCAGTGATCTCACCACTTTGGGATCACTGCAGAGAGAATTGTAGTAAGTTTGTTTCCTGATTTCTGTGTGCTAACAGTTTAATTTTTTTAATATTGCCAAATCACTTATAATGACTGTCAAAGCTGCATATCTATTACTATCCTTTCTTCATTAGGTCTCTTTTGAATGAGCATATGACTTTATTTTATCAAACATTCACAGCTGAACCCAAGACAGGAAAAATGATCATTATTTTATCCACACAATCATCTTAGCAGTAAAAGAGAGAGTAGCTTCCATTGCTATGTGCAACATTAAGGCTTAATTTCTCAAATGTTGCTGCGCAGTGATTCTGAGGTAAGAACAAGAAGCGCTGAGGAGCGTGCCCTGAAAGCTGAGGAAGCCCTACAGGAAGCGCTAGAGAAGATTCAAGACCTTGAGAGACAGCTGCCGAGTCAACCCGATCCGGAGCCCAAAGCTACTGAGGGTAAAGAACACACGGATAGTTTTAACATTTTATTAGCTCACACAACTGAAGAAAAAGGGGAAAAACATAACACAATGTGATAATGTAGAGCTGGTACATATATGTATTTCAGAGAAACAGAAAACACCTCCTCCTTCCCCACCACCCCCTTCCCCACCACCAGTGGCTACACCATCTCCACAAAAGAAAACAGCTGAAGCTCAACCAGCAAGCAGCACCAAAAAGACCAAGAAAAAGTGATCTGGCATGTGGTCAGGAATCATTATGCTATTATGCTATTCTTATACATTTTCCTCCATTTGACCAGAAAGGAAAACTTTGCATACCAAATTTAGCTTCTGGTTTTATATTCAGTTTCCTAATAGAAAGGATCATTCATGAGTGCAGCACCTAAGTATTAAAAGTTTTCAGCTTTAAGTTTCATTTGCACTGTGTAACAGCTCACTGTGGCTTTGATAAACATCAGAATGTTTTTCAGCTTCATTCAGTTCTGTTGTTATCTTGCTTCCTGAGATAAAAGACAAAAAACAAATAAAGTTGATGCCGATGCTCCAAGATTTGTCCTTCATTTATTACTTTATCTGACAATGGTAAAATGTTTGATTCTCTTAAGGCTCCGTCTGGTGATGTGACTCATACACCACTTCTGTATATCCACTTTTGTAGGGAGGAGTCAGCCAACAGTCCTCAACATTAGAGAGGACATATCACAGAAAACGTATCACAGAAACCCTATTACTTCAGGTCACTGCTGCTGAAGGTGTCAAATTATTTAATTATACTTTATTCTCTATTTCAGTTCGCTTTATGTTCATTAGACATTGCTGTGTATTGTGTGTGTTATATGTTAGCCGAGGCTGCATTTACTTTAGTGGAAAACTTTCTGAGGATCATGTCATGTTTGTCCTGTCCGAAACCAATCAGACAGAACTGAGAGGCAGTGTTTGTTTTTTCCACATGACTGTGCACACTTTTGGGTGCGTGTTTTTAGAACTTTGTCGATAGAGCACCACACTGTGCTCTGTGGGAATGGTTTCCGAAAGTATCCCTGAACCCATAATGGGATTTCCACAACAGATTGATCTGTTTTTTAAGCTGTTCAGCTTGAAGACCCCACCAGTCAATGATGTTTTGCAATATCTGTACCATTTGCACTGAGATTTCTGCAGATGGTTTTATATTTCATATCATGTACTACAGATGATGTAATTTGATGTGGAAGAAATATTCCTAATTAGATGTTTAATAATGCGCAAGCTCAGTCTTTCTCCTCATCTTTACTTTCGAAAAGCTAGGAGATGTTCTTTTTAAATTGTTAAAGAATATTACGTTTTTTTTGTGTGATGGAAAAAAAAACATCCTATGACATTTTTATTAATATTAGCAATTTATTTGCAATTATTACATATATAGTTTGACTGATGTCACCCCTTTTTCATTTTTAATCCATTTTCATTTGATTTACTTTTTTCCTGCGTGTTGAGAAACCCCATGTGAACGTACAGAAGCTGCTCACATTTGGTTTGTCAGCGGTCCGTTACATCATTGGTGAGTCTTTCCCAAATACCCCCGTTGTCACCCCTCCCTCTTCTTCCACAGCAGGAGGAGGAGGTGGTGGGAGGGATGAGAGGTCAGAGTTCATGCTGAGAAGATCTGGAGGGAGGGGAAGGACTAGAGCAGGCTGAAAGAGACGGAGGGAGGACCTGAACCCGTCCCAGCCGGATGCCTCGCTCTCTGCAGCTTTTACCTGCAGAACAGACGGACAGCTTTTACCTGTCTTTACAAAACTGGTGAAGGCGCATAACTGACTACTAATAACTGTTAATCTTATTAAATTTAAAAAATGTCCTGGCAGACATGCTGTATTTATTCACATGTGAGAGTAAAAAAATATATATAAAATCAGAACGGTTACTAACAAATAAGATAGGGACTCGGCAGGTATGGTTACTTACATTGATCTGCTGCTGCCTCTTGGCCTCAGCTTCTGCAGCCAAACTCTGCTGTAACTCCTCAGGAACACTGAGCTCATCTCTGTCAGAAAAACAAGCACCTGGTCAGAACCAAGACCACCATGCACCACAGAAATTTGAAGTTATCATAACCGTTCACCAGGAAAAATCAATGCATATAAGAAACCTTTTTTTAAAGGATAAATTCTTCAAATGAAACACTACTTCCTTATATTGTTTTTTAGTTTTTTGTCTCTAATATATATACTGACCCACGTTGAGTTTATGCAGTTGAAAGTGAATTAGATCTATTTACGAAATGGCTTATAGCAACAACATGAAAAGTAAGGTGACTTTTAGACTCCAGCCTTACAAATCTGCTCTCTCCACCCTGATGCCCCAGCGACATGCAACAGAATCGACGGTGGATTGAATCTGCTCTCCGATCCTCCGCCTGTGCAGCAGTACGTGGCTGAAAGTGTTTTGGGCGAGAATGTCTCTGATGGCTGCCTGAACCAGACTCTGCAGCACCGTGTGCAGACTGGATAGAGCTGCACTGCACAGCGCCACGTTCTCTATCTGGTAATAACACACTGCGCCCAGCTCTGGCCTCACCAGGTCCTTTGTCACCACCTGGAAAGAAAACGTCAGAAAACATAAGTGCACTCTGCTTTGTGGCTGAGATGCTATTTTACATGTGTCTAATGTTGTCTTTATTGATTTATGTTCCATTGATGTATTTTTTAATACCGTGTGAGGCGGAATCTTCAGCATTCTGAGTCGAATGTCAATTTTGTAACACACATCAAGAACTGGAAGATAGAAAAGGAGGCCTGGAGAGAAAGAGAAATGTTAGAAGTTTTGTTAGCTGCAATTCTTATCTGCCCTGCAATAGACTGGCGGACCGTCCAGGGTGTACCCCGCCTCTCGCCCATTGACAACTGGGATAGCCTCCAGTCCCCCCGCAACCCCATCAGGGTTACGATAATGGATGGATAATGCTATTCTTATGACATTGAACCTTAATCTTGCATATTTAAACTTATTCTGGTGTTTATGAGGAAGTATTTTTATGGAAAATATATTATTTCTATAATAACAACAAAGCATTATTAACTGATATTTACTATTTGACTTGTATTCATTCATGTTTATATCAGCTTGGCTGTTGTTGGCCAACAGGCGGGCTACTCCATGGACAGGTCGCCAGGCCATGCAGACAACCATACACACACACACACCCTCCCATGGATTAACTTAACTTGCATTTTTTGGAACTCTACAAATACACAGAGGGGCACCAGATTTTTCAAATCAGAAAAAAAAGAAACTGACACATCATAGAAAGGATCCCCATCTGATTGTGCTGTGGAAACCTTGAGTCTCACTTTCTCTGGATCGAAGACATATAGCCAGGAGGGATGAACTATTATGGTTTAATCTGTGTCGACAGGCAAACATGAGAAAGTAAGAGCGCTTTGTCTTAACCTGGTCCCCTGGGTTTCCCACGCAATAGGTGACCAAGTCTGAAGATTACAGCTCTCTCATGCTCCCTCACAACCTGTAAATCAAAGCGACAACCTTTGTTAAAAAGCAGATTGCTCTCTTCTGAGAATTCAGATGAAGGAAAAACACATTAAGAAAAGACAATGTCAAATGTGTAAGCACTATGTCAGTGTAGTCTGTATGTTTTAAAAACATCAACACATTTTTTGGCAGTGAAATCTAAAGCACAATCTAAGACAGTGTTGACTGTGAATTGTTTATTTGCATGCATTTCGAGTTTTTGTTGACGTATGATACAATGATATTGAGAATTTGAGAATTAATCTTACAAGTTTAGCTTGAGTAAAAAGTAGACATTCACCATATATTTCTTTTCAAAATAAATAAAGGAAATGGTTAATTTCATGAAAATTCTCTGAATTAAAGGTGAACTGTTGTAAAGTTATTTGTACAAAGTGTCTGCAACATTTTAAGACTTCTGTGCTGGAGTTTAAATTGAAAAGCATTTAATCTGTGTTTGGTTTAAGGTGACGTCCATACTTTTACACAGAACCAGATGGAAAATGGGAGGAAGAGCAGAACCAGAACCAGGACAAAGACCATCAGCAACCACTCGAATTCGCCAAGATTCCTGCGTTTCAGACCTGCAGAGATCCATGATGCTTTGTGAGAAGAACTGCCACCAGCATAATCGTTGAACAGGGAAAATTGAATATTGGACCAAAAGTTCTAATGAGAATTAAAGTCAGACAAATACCAACAGATAGATGAGAGGGTAAAAATCCTCTTCTTAGCAGCAATACAAAGCTTTTAGGCTTTCACTCACCATCTTCATGTTCCGCTGCTTCCAACAGCCCCAGATTCTCCTCCTTCTTGATCTCATCATCTCTAACACTATCTATATCCACCACAGTAGATTTGAATCTAAGTTCTTCCTCCTGCTCCACCTTTACCTGGTTTGTCTGTGGCTTTTCATGCTTTTGCCTGTCCTTCCTTACCGATGGTGCATCAGTGAGCCCACCTGCTTTGGTTGTCTTGTGATGTTGATTTCTCGAAGGCTCTAAAGCTCCCCTTTCCTTCCCTTTCTGAGGCATTGTTCTTGGTTTAGGATTTGGTGGTACTTTTGAGAACTCTGCAGTGATTAATATTTAAGTTATAGACATTAAGATGTTTTCATTCAGTGAGTTTGCTGTGGAGTATCCTTGTAAGAAGAGTGAAGACAACTTGCGACCTATCCTCTGTGTCTAGAGTAGCCAGAGTGTGTGGTCTTGCTGTCAGAATAAAGACGTGGTCAATAAGGCGGACCGTTTTGAATGTGGGAGTCAAGCCGCAGTAGGTGTGTCAATTAGCGCCCTGACATTTTATGTCACGCCAGTTAACTTTTCTGTGACCAAAGCAAGGCCCTAAACAAAATAAAGGAAGTGAGGTAACAAAAGAAAAAAGGAGTCCTTTTTCAATAATTGATGTAAGGTGTGTATTGTACATAATTACATCACAGTCATTCCAGCACATACTGTGTGTGTTTTAAATCTTTACAGTATTTCCAAACATATAAAAGTTATTAAACTTATTTTCTTTAGTTTTTTGTGTCCGTTTGTTTTGAGTGCTTTTTTATTGGAAGATTTCTAACTGAAGGTCAGCTTATGGAACTGATTGTTGTGGAGGCTTGGGGAGTCACAGGGAATGTGCAGACTCAGGCTTCCAGGAAATGATCTCTGCTATTACAGGAAAAGACATTCAATACCCTCCCTAATGTGTCCTTAATTAAACTGACTATTTACTTATTCCTAGTAGGGTGGCCTTCAAATCACCAAAGGATTTGAGGGATTCTCCATCAATTCAAAGGAGAACAACAACAAAAAATCTGAAAAAGTTACCTGTCATCAAGTATAAATTATATACACCAATGCCTATAGCATAACATTTTCTGAACAAGGTGAACGTTTTCCTATGTAACTTTTTTAATCGCTCAAAGGGAAAACAGGAACACGTAGAAGCTGCAGTTTCTGACGAGCTGGTGGAGGACTGAACCCGTCTGACCAAAAACCAGCGAGCCTAAAATGACCTGTGCAGCACCAGCAGCAACCGGAACAGGAATTGCAGTAGATTTGGAAGTACCAAAGATAGCACGTTGGAGTTATGTATTATTGTTATTATTGTTCCAGTCGTTATTCCATTTAAACGTGTTGCTTTAGATGTTTGAGGAGCACAATTGGCCCGTTGTAAATCCCCCCAGCCGGCTCGGCCCCGACAACGTGGACGGTGCCCTGCTAGCGACCACCGGTGTGGAGTCTGCCAAGCTACCGTTGGACGACACGGAAAACATAATAAAACATTTAGGTAACTGGACATTCTGCCAGCAATTAATAATGACGATACTGACTCGAAGAAACAGAACTTATTTTCCTTTTTTTAAGGAAACGCGTGGTTAACATTCGCAAACAGCTGCAATTGTCGATGAAGTGGTGAAACCGCACGTGAACTTTAATGGCTAAGCTAATTTAGTTTAATTATAAAACATGTGTCTGTACAGGGAAACCCCAAAGTCTAATGGTATCTTACAGATAAGGTACATGCCAAAAAAAAGTCATTTTAGCAAAGTTTAGAAGAGTCAGAAAACATCACTGCCATAAACAGTGATATTCGAGAGCGAATTGACATGGGGTACAATTTTAAATAGCATCAAATATGACTCCCTCAGCTAAACCAGTCCATCCAGAAAAGAAAAATATTAACACTGAGCCGATTAGAAAAAGTGGATACACCCTAGTAAATTCTGCACAATGTGTATACAATAATTCAATAAAACTTCCACCAGTTCATACATACATAAATATCTATACCTGCATGTACAAACCTAATTTGTTTAAGTTGCAAAAGTAGAAGACAGAATATATAATATGAGGAAGCATAAACCATGACACCTTGCATGCCATCGATGAGCATATGAGCATTATAGGAAAATGCAATTAAAAGAAAGAGCTCATGATATGGAACCTAAAGGTCCAAATTTTTAATATGTTTGATATGTCATGGTAAGATTCTGCATAAATGTGTTATGTTCATGCCACTGTATCGTGACTGCTTGTGTGCGGGATGCTCCACAAGTTGTTTTACACGTGTGTTGCTGTCATCCGTAGACACGAGCAGGTAAAGCATGAGTCAGGAAGATATTTTGGCTCAGCTGAAGAAGGATGTTCGCTCCTTGCTCGTTTCTTCCAAAACGGGGTTGCATCCTGATCAGCTCAGGCATGACTACATCAACATACTGGGGCAACCAATGCCCCTCAAACTGTTGGGCTTCAAGCACATCATGGACATGGCCAAGGAGATGCCTGATGTAGTGGCTGTTAACTACCAGGTGGATGGCAGCCCTTGCTTAAAAGGTACGATGTTAAATTGATATTTGATAGTTTTTATTGTGCTTAAAAGCTTAAATTAAAGATGAGTAAAAACTGCATGGTGGAACCAAAAGGTAAAACTTAACGACTCTTTTCTACAATTTTTACGTCTTTTCTCCTGTCTCCAGTCTTTTTTCCAGTTTGTAACCCCCTTCTAAAAGTGTATTTCAAGGAGGTTCAATTCATCATTCAGTGGATTCCAGCTGTTTTTAGTGTGATCATATCTCTCACGAGCGAGTTTGTACTTCATACCCTCCATTTTGTTTCCCACATCAAAGCTGTGAGTGACGAGTCCACTCGACACATCGAGGAGCTGGTCGCCAAGCAGCGTCTATCCAAGACTGACAAGAAAGTGAAGAGGGGAAGCTTCAGCCATTTCTCCCCGCGGTACCGTCGTGGGTTCTCCCCTGTTGTCCTTCCTAGAAGAGGCTGTGCTCCTCCAGCCCTCCCTGCCACTCTGAGGGCACAGCTTCGCTTCCTGCTTTCGCAAGTACCACCTGAGGTACTCTACATGAAAGATTACTCCATTAAAAAATTGTACTCTTTAAGCGTGCTCCAGTTTGTTAGCCGTATGAATTAGTCTGGGAGCGGTTGCCAGTGTGTACTCACTGAAAAAAGAAAAATGTAATACAAAAAAAATTCAATGCAATTTATGTAAAGTTGGTAGCGTCGTTGACCATGACAAATTAAGTAAAATAAGTAAATCCCTGTGTAATGCTGTTGCTCTCTCAGGTCGGAGTTAGGTTGTCTGACCTTGAGTCCAGTTATGTGCGCTGCTTTGGTCAACCTCTGCGTGTCCACAACTATGGCTTCTACTCCATTGGAGAGATGCTGGAGGCAGCAGCGGACATGGTCGTTATCCAGCAAGGCAGATTCGGCTCAGTTCTGAGCCTCAGGGAACATATGATACCGAGGTCAGTCCAGAGATCACCGCTGAGATCCGGACTCATAAAGCCATACACGCCAGCCTCCACAGACATGCCAATTAAAGTATCAACAAAACCTCCAGGTGTGTTTGTAGATGGTTGGGGTTATGTGGGAACTAAATTAATCACGTTCTGGAGACTTTCACTTCTTATCTGTTGCATTGATCTGACTGACATCCATATAACACATTTGTGCTTCCCAGCTGAATTTCAGGTGAAGCAGACTCCTCAAAAACAATGGCAGACCAAATTGGAACCGGTCAACAAAGAGTCATGTGTCAGCAACAAGCCAGCGATTGTAGCGAAAAACAGGGACACCAAACCAGTGCCCTGCCAAAATGGCCAGGCCTTTCAGAAACAATTGATGAAGGTGCGTTCTGTTTGGATCCTGCTGCAGCAGAGAGTTTTCGATGTGCTTTTAGTTTTTAACTTTAGAATCAGAGAAGAGCTCTGGAAATGAGCCCATATTTAAGCATTTCACAGTATGGAGAATCAAAAGAGCATTATTTTACATATAAAATAAAAAACAATTTTTGAGCAAACTGTATGGTGATTATTTTTTCCATCATGCTGCATTTGGATCTAGGTTTCTAAGTTAATGTAAGATTTTGTGTGTAGTATTCAGTGTTTAGTAGAGTTACTTACTCCTCCCGTTTCTATGTGAGCTGGAGGAGGACCTTCGTCAGCGTATCCTGGAGAATGGAGTTGCTGGCACCGTTAGTCAGGAGCTGAAGGACAAGCTACGGAAGGTCAGAATTCACACTACTTTCTAAGCACATCCCAGGGCCCTATTTTAATAATGCAAGCACATGACATATAGACAACAACACTGTCCTCTAAATGCACCTGCTATTATGTTTCAATACACAGCAGCACCAAAACAGCTGGTGGAAGTGAATTATAAGTCCAGAGTGGTAATCTAATACAGTTACAGTCAGCTTCATTGATCATATCTTTGGTTCTGTTGCTTGGAATTGTGTGGCAGTGACACTGTGACAGCCACAGGTTGTCAGGAGGCATTGCTCAGCACAGCATCAACACAGAGCAACACAGGTCTGAGGAAGACCAAAAACCCCAAAGACACACAAAAATAAGGATATCTCGGGCACTTACCCAACACCGCTGTATTTAATAAAGTAATGTGGGTTGATTATATTTGTACAGATTGCACCATAACCTATGTTTGCAAGTTTGTTATAAAGAGACATTAATAAAAGCCATGTCCATTACCCTGTGCAGGTTGTTGGTCAAACAGCTGGTGGATTATCCGTTCATGCTCTTCCTGCTGAGTATAAGGTAAAAGAAGATGAATTCTCCTGCATATGTTGCTTTCAGGAGAATTGTAAACTTGTGATATTATATATATATATGAGTCGTGTGAGTGAAAGCCGGAGGTTCAACATGTCCTGGGTATCTTTTTAAAAAAAATGTTTTCCACTCCTAACCCTAACAGTCAAATTAGGCTGTATTTTGTATTTGAATTTGCACAACTCAGTAAATCTGTCTTATGAAGAATGGAACCTGATTATTAAGATCGTGTATATATTAAAGTGCCAATGGGGCCTGTTTTAGCCACGCGGAACAGTTTGTGTTTCATTCTGTCTGTGTCAAGTGAATTAGCTTACCAGCAGTGTGTAACTTGTAGATACAAAGAAAATATAAATGACTATATTGGGTGGTATTACAAAAAATATAATATCTTTCCAATTTTAACATTATTATGCCCAAACTAACCTGGAGGAAAAAAGTCTTCTTGAGTTAAAAAACAGTTTGTAGTCAAGCCCTGAACCTCAGAAATTCTTCAAACTATTGAGTTAATCGAATACTTATTCACTGCACATTTGTAGCCACATGAGAAAACACAGTTGTATCTTTTTGTAGTGCAGTTGTGCGTTTAAAAAAAAACATGAAGTATTTATGACTGAACAGCAACAAACTAGTGATCAATATCACTGTTTTGCGGTGGCTAATGTGTGACTGTTGAGTTTGAATCTCTTGTTTTTTCTTGGATAATTGTTTAATCTTGAGGAGCTGTGTTTATGAACAATCTGTGCTGGGTAAAAATCAAAGAGATCTGGGAATAACTCATTGATCGGATGTCTTTATTTTTCCTTAGAGGCTTTTTGGTGAAGACTTGCCATTTTTACAGAGTGGCTTTGTTAGTGTCACTGAGCTCATTGATGCCCTGAGTGACACTTTCCACTTGAAACCAGCAGAGGACAACAATGGAAACCATTGGATAATTCTAGACATACAGGATGCTGACGACACACAATCAGGTATCAATCAGCTCATCTGAAGTCTACATCTGTACTCGCTTTGTCATTAAATGTAACGTTCTGGAAATATTACAAACAGTAAACATGAACAGGAAGCGTATTAGTTGATGTTTCTGTCAATGTTAATAGAATATTTTTTAGGTTGTTTTTCAAACATTCCTTTTTCCATCGAGTTCCAGTTCTGGGTTGTAATGAATTGTGCCTTAGATATTGTAAAATAAAGCTTTTATTGTAGAATAACATCTTCCACCTGAGCATGGAATAATGTTTTTTTTTTCTTTTTTCTGCAGCTTCAAATGAAACTCGACGTTGTAGCGATGAATTAAAGTCATCAGGGAAGAGCCAGTACTTCTGTACTGGTGATTCTCCTTGGGAAAGAAACCTCGAAGGAGATGATGACAATTTCAAAGAAGATGTTAAAAATGAAGATTTAGACCCCAGCATCATTTCCAAGCCCAACGAAACGGTTTGATATATTCCTTATTCTAAACATTATTCTACATTATAATGCAAAGAAACATCCACTGTGGCTGACATTTGACATTAGACATAGTTTGATTGGCTGTCAACCGCACTTATCCACAAAAGCTTAAAAACCTTTCAATTTAATAATTGTAACATAACATTATATTGAATCCTCAACCATTAGTTGCCGTTTGCTGCCCACTGCTCTGACTCTGTTTTTGGATGTGATTGCCTGTAGATGCCGGCGGTGTACCCTGCCATTCAGGTGCAGTGCACCTCCGTCATACCACTGGACGCCTTGCTGAATCAGCGAATCAAACCGCCAACGCGCCACAGTGCTAGAGAGGTGGCGGCGGTCTTAGTGGAGCAGGTGGAGTCGCCCGGACACTTCTACATCCGCTTCAGTGAGAACGCGGAGGCCCGTGCCATGGAGGACATGATGTTCGAGATGAGGTGGCGTAACTCGGAATTAGCAGTGGGAGGAGAAATCTCATGGCTCCCCTTGCGCCTGCTCTGATCCCAACACAACATGTTTAAGTTGTCCCACACGTATTTCCTCAAACGAGCTGCTGCTTCACTGTCGCCGCTGCGTTCCTTCAGATTCTTCTCTGTGCTTGTCTCACAGACGATGCTACACCTCCACTGAGGTGTCAGAGAGATACCGCCTTCCGGCGCAATATATCCGACAGGGTCAGGTGTGCTGCGTGTCACCCAGAGCCATGTGGTTCTACCGGGTGGTGATCCACCAGGTTATCAGCCCCGCTCTGGTCGAGGTGTATTTTGTTGATTTTGGCGACGTTACAGTGGTCGAGAGTGCCAACCTCAAATTTCTCAAGTAAGGGCTTTGACAAACGCCTGAGCCGATTCTGTTATGCAGCTAAAAAATGTGAACTTTACTGTCCTCTCTACATTTGGTGTCCCTGCATTTCAGGTCAACTTATTCAGTTCTTCCAGCACAAGCTGTTCCATCATCACTCGCTGGCATTAAACCCACTACAGTGAGTTTTAATCATATTTGATAGTTCTTGCCTTAATATACTTCATTGAGTTCTTCTATGAAATGATCAAAGGACAGTTTAAGGTACTTTTTTTTGTAGAAGACCTCTAAGCTTTTGTTGTTCACTTACAGGGCAACTGGAGCGCTGAGGCCACAGCTTCTTTTAAAAGCCTGTGCTCTGATCGCACCCTAGTGGGTGCTCTGGATTCCTACACTGGAGACATGCTGCAGCTCTTCCTGTGTGACACCAACACTGACGACGACTTCTATATCCACACGGTCCTGCAGAGCCAAGGCCACGGCACGGCTTGCAGCCCTTTGGCCTCGGCTGCTGTGAGTCGCACTCAAACAGATTAACTAACGTTTGTGTCTGAAAAAAATACTTGTTTCAGCTCTAAATTTTAAGCGGAATGCACTGTGATCGAAAGTAGAAGAAATAGTAATGATTTATGTAATATTCTTTGTGGTAGATTGTGAGAAAGGTTATTGGAGACCTTGTCTTTCCCTAGTTGTGTTTCCAAGTCACACCAGTGAGTCTCTATCTGGGTGTGGGACCTTTCCAACTGCCAAATGTGGATGAGGAGCTGATTTCTCCTTCAGAGTCAGCTGACACTCCTGAACAGGTCAAAGTGGCCACAATTAAGGTAGCCCAGACACACATTATCTGTCAAACTGATTATTCAAACTGTTGCTTTTTTACAAAGACATTTGATGATGACATAATAAACTCGTGCTTAAATGAAAACCTCAGTATGAAATAAAACTTTAGTTGTAGAAAAAAACAGTATGACAAATGCTTTGATATTAGTCTTTCTTTCTGAATAAAAAAAATTGTATTTTTGTGAATAACATGTTTATTACTAAAACCTGTATTGGCACTGTACTTCAGATGAAATGACAGAGGAGGCTGCATTTAGTAGAGCACAAAAGTGCACCACAGAAGTGGTAAATTTGATTTGCACTCTCTGCTGACATTGGTAGTTTCTGCCTGCTGTTATCTTTGTCTCTTTTCTTTTGACAATTTCTGCGAGTGTATTTGTCGCCAATCAATACGTAAATATATTAATACGTTCATAAAGGTATTTTTATGGTAATTAGTGCAAGTAAAATGAAATTAAACCCATTTTTTAAACTACATTATTGTAACATGTCTCTGTTATAATTCCATTTAAATGTATTATTTTAATTGGAATGCGTTTAATTTCTTTGTTTCCTTTGTGACTCCAGTATTTACTTGAAAGGCCCAAAAGCTGAGGGTGGTGATATTTATTTTTCACTGGACAGTCTGTGTTGAGCAGAGAACTCCACACACACACACACACGCACTCACACACATTTTTTTGCCCTCTCTTTTAGTGTTGTTGTAAAGCTTTTATTCTCCACTGTCCATAGCTCTTATCTTAACGACCACGCTGTCAGTGCTGCTGGCCGAATGCGTCCCATACACACTCACAAACACACCAGCCGCACATCATCTTACTGAAGGGGCAGTTGGAACCCCCCACTGTTGCTTAATGTATGGACTCACTGTTAGAAGGTCACTTCTGGATACTGCACGTTAAATAAGATGGAATCCAGTCAGTGGCTCTTCCATGGATGCTGATACTACTGAATTACACTATTGTTTTTCAACTTGGTGTACTTTGCAGCGATAACAATACCTTTACTTCTATATTACAGGCCACGGTCTTCTTTTTCCTCTACCGTGTGCTTTGCAATAGCAAACTTAATAACGAAGCATTCAAAATGTCTTAATTGTTACGTGGAGTTAATTTGACTCTAAATAAGACTTCTCATTTTGGGTTTAACATAAAGGATACAAGAGTTTTCTTGGTTTCCTAGGTTGAAGAGGACAAAGTACCTGCCCTGGAGTTAATTAAGGAGAATGACGATGTCCCCAGCATCCAGGTACAAACCACTGCCTTTTTTCTGGTTATGGTTGCACTTAGCTGTTTACTGTTGTTTATGCGCCTGTATTAATGACTACAGACTACAAATAAAGTAGTTTACATGTGATTTGTTAGACTGAGTTAAGACTGTCTTATTAACATGTATCTCAACATACCTGCAAAATACAATAAGCTGATGCTAAAAACTCTTAAGGTCTTTGACCCTTTTATATCTCTCAGGGAATGGAAGCAAACCAATCAAGAGCCCTGCCAAATGATCAGACTCTCAGCTTTAGTGAAGAGGAACTGACTTTGGCACGTGAAACACCTCCCGCCAGTCCAAGTACAATCTCTACTCTGTATGCTCCTCAAGCTCTCATCAACCCGAGGACGTCCCCTCTCGACTGTAAAACTGAAGCTAAAGTGAGATGACTTTGTCTGTGTTTTGCTTTTGAAAGCAACTTTATAAGAGACTCTAATGGAAATCAAAAGTTAAAACGGTTCAAAGTAATTTGTTTGTCTTCTCAGTCACAGTTCACCGCTCATACGCCAACCACACCCAGCCCCATTTCCACCAGCACCCCCACATCAGCTGATCCTCCTCCTTTCCTGGGGACACTGAGCCTCCACACTCCTGACCTGGGTCAAATGCAGGAATCCCCTCAAGGTACAACAAACTCCCACAGTGTTTAATCCGTTTCGGTCACCTGAATCCACTCTGCTAAGGTATCAGGAAGCGGCTCTTAAAAAGCCTCTGGGACCCTGGTGGACAAATAAAGTCATGTTGTCGTCATTATTGATTGATTTTATTATCTGTTGTATACTACACCATGAGAATCATCACTTAGCTACTATGTTAGTTATTTTTAAACTGTTTGTGAACAAAACATAACAGCATTGGTTCAAATATGCTTATCTATCAAATGTAGACCAAAACACCACAGTGGTTCACACAGATCAAGTATTTGGTGACAGGCTGTCAGTTTTCTGTCTTCGCCACTATATAGTTCTTCTTACACCTCTTACTTTCCATTTACCTCCATATTTTCTCTCCCACCATACCCTGGGACCTCTAATATAAAAAAACAAAAGATCTGCACCAAGATTTGCTAAATCTGCATTTAAATCTGCATTTTTCAATATCTTGCATCTCTCCTCATGTTTCAAAAGCGGACTTTGACAGCATTGTCGGTCCTCAGCCTGTTGTTGACTAGAGGTGAGAATAGAACTTCTGGGGTCATCTACCTCCAAGCTGTGAACAGGTCTGCCTTGCATTGCTGTCATATGTAGTTGCAGATCCAGCAGATTCTCAATGGGAATGTTGTGAGATGTACTTTGAAGCCTTGGCCTGCCGGGTAATGACGGCTGGGATAGGCCCCAGCCCCCTGTGAATTGGATTAGCAGTCATTTAACATCAAATGAGCCACATTCAACCATTTTCTATCGCTAGAAAATGGTTGAATGTGGCTCATTTGATGTTTTCAAAGGTCTTTGTATGGTAGGTCCTGCTCAAGCAATTTGTCAAGTAAAACCTATAAAGACATCAACATGAAAGCAGTCTCCTTTTTCAGTTTAATTCCATTTAAAACATGTATTCTAATGGGTTAAAAACTGCCGCCGACATGAAATAAGTCAGTTGCTGAGTTTGCCGCATAGTCGGTTATTGCAAATGATCTATGTCATGATGTTACAGTTTATGATGGAACTTTGTACATGACAGTGTTTGTGTTCCCCAGGTGCTCCTGTGTCTCCTTTCACGCTGCGGAACTCTGGCACTCTGTTTCCTCTGTTTCCTCTGTTCAGGACCAGGCCTGTTGTGTCTCCTTTATTAAACTCTACACATCTGCTAAACCAGAGCAAAATCACACACAGCAAAGATGATGGGAGCTGCTCCTAACAGAATGAGCAGACTTAAAACAGACTTAAGTTATATCATTTTTTTTATAGAGCAAGTTCATTTTCATGTCATTTTAAAGTTGAAATGTTCAACTTTGTTGGGCTCTGTTTGATCGTTGAATGTTGGTGCAACTGTAACACTTTGGTTCCAGATAAGTGAAAAACAGGAAATAAATGGTTCTTTTAAAAAATGCAATTAGGGCTTTTGAAGATGCTGCTTGTATAAAAAATAATTTAATAAAGACATCAGTGGTTTGATTTCAGATTAAAATTATTGTTTGGGAGAGTGTTAAAACAAGTGCTGTTATAATAAACATTGAAGCTCAATTCATTTTGTTTAGTCAAATAAATATAATTTGAAGGACATTTGTATTTTTCTTTCATTTCGGTTTTATTTTTTTTATATTTCAAGCTGAAGCCAATGCGTCAGAAAGGACTTCTGTTTAACTGGTTTTCTGTTGACACCATCAACTGCTGATCTGGGGATTAAAATCTGTCAAGCTGTGAGTCAAGTCAAGCTTGATTTTTTCTTTCCTTCCTTCTCGTGCCAGTTTTATTTTTTGCAACTGCTTTAACAAAGGGAACCATTTTGGATGTTGAAGGAAGGGTGATCTGAGAGTGAGCGGCCTCTGCCCAGCGAGCATGTGAAATTATAATTTATTTAATCAGCCTCTCTCATGAACTGCCGAAAAGGTTCTGGGACAGAATAGCTTTTATTTTTATCCTTGTGTGAAGAATCTTATCTGCTGAGTTAATTTCAGAACGGCTGGGGGATGATTGGGAGGAAACTTCATTCTCATGTTAATCCCTTAGGCTTCTGGTTTTGCCACTTCTTTATAAGACAAACCAGCAGAACCAGCTCTTACAGTCTGAGTCAAGCTTCAGACTGGATGTTACAATAGGGCTTTCTTTATACTAGCATTAACTGATACTAAACATAGCCTTTTATGTACTAGCACTCGATTTCCCTAATACCTTCAAACAAATTAGTTGGTTTTAAAATTGTGGAACGCATACAGGGCTCGGGATAATGTTGCTGGAAAGAACAGCGCTAACATACAGTGTTAATGTACTACAAAACTAACAACAGGAAACACACATTATGTGGCGACTCATTCAAATACACTGGCCCTGTTTGACTTTCTGAACGTCTAACACTTAAGTCCGAAAAAGTTGTGAGATGATACGAATTTTAGCTTAAGTAATAACACAAAAAGTTGCTGCTGAATGAGGCTGATTGACAACAGGTCAGGAACATGACGGAGTGTAAAAGAGCAGGTTTCTCTGAGGTAAAGACTAGCACACACTCTAAAATAGAACAGAAATGAAAATAAAAAACTTCACAAATCCTGGAGCAAACCAGACCAGTATTACTCAATGAAAACTTTATATATTCCATGGTTTACAGGGGATTCAGAGGAAGTGGAGACCTGCCTGTGCAAGGGACAGGGATAAAAAGTCAGTACTCATTGCACAGGCTCAGGAACACTTAAAGTCGTTATCGTCCATGATCACAGTTATCTGTGGATGCACACGTGCCCACAGAGCTGTCAGCTTCCACACCCAATGCAGCACCATCGACTCTGAAAGGTTTTCTATCGGTTTTAGAGCAACATCAAGGGCTCGCATGTTTTAGTAAGGCGACGTTAAACTGAATGCCTCTTTCCCTTGAGGCCAGGTGCTGCACTGACCCGAAAGCACTTCACATCCTTTAGCAATATGAAACATTTTAAGAAACACTATGCGTGAAAAGAATGACAAAAAGATGTGGCCCCAATTACAGAGGGGGTGGTCAGCTAACCGCTGGATTGGTGGTTGACCCCTCTGCCTGTCAACAGGCCAGCGCCTGCCTGGGGAATACACTGAATCGAACCATGGTTCAGGTGGGGTTCCTGCAAAAATCGCTTTGAACCCTCTTGTAGAATCTAAAAGATTTTTTCTTTTTGGGATTTGGCAAAATGTAGAAGCTGTCCGTTATGTAGTCTTAAAAGAAGCGAACCTCCACTGCTCATTAAACACTCAGCCTTGACCTCTGCTTGTCTTCCGCTGTAAGGATTTACGGCTCCGTGTTTAACATAATGGGAGCCCTAAAGAGACCCTGGGGGGAAGAGGAGGGAATAAAGAATAGACATACCGATGGAGGGAGGGAAGATGGATGAAGGCTATGACAGGGTTGCATTTCTTTTCTCGTCCTTGGGTCCACCCTGACCGCTCTGCTTGAATGTTGGTGGGTCCGAGTTAGACCTTGAGCCAGCCTCTCTTGTAGAGAATCAGGTGTTACTTGTATTTGACAATCGGTAAATTTATGCTCATAGAACTAATCTACAGAGAGGCAGGTGTTTTTAACACTCTCTAGTTAAACCTCAGGAGAGGCCCAAAGTATTCTCACAGAGCAACTGTGGACTTCTAAATCCGAACACGTCCAAAATTTGCTTTAGCTTGCTTAAAGAGTAGTTGTTTTTTTTAGTTAATCCTGCCCACAGACATAGTGAAAGAAATACATGGCTTCCTTGGCAGAGCCTATCATGTTGCTTGCCTCTTTGGGCATGCATACTTGCATTACCAGTGATTTTTTGGGTGAGGAAAACAGATGTTTGTATTTTTCGTTGTTAAGTCCGCTTAGAGAAACTGATCTCCACTACTTGATGGAAATATATGAAAATACTCAAAACTGGAAATGTGAGTCTGAAGTTGATCGACTCAACAGAGTTCGGTTGTTATTGACAACAAAAATACTAATTAATTTCTTGTTTTAACAAGAAATGAAAGACTGCGATCTAAATTCACACATTTGTATATTTAGCATGGTGGAAATGAAATGACACTCTGAGGACTGCCGCCCCCCTTGTGCGTCCTCATTCAAGTCAGCACAGGCCCCTTATGTCACCTGCCAGGCTTCCAGCTGATGTCCGCCTAATTGCAGATGTGGCCAGTCATGTTTTCCAGCTGTAACCAGCTGCGGCTGAGCTCAGAGCTCAGTTAATACGCCGCGGCCGACTCTGACAGTTCCATTAAGCCCAATTTATGGCATCCGCAAATAATTGATATGCAGATATGCCAGCCTGTATGCATAAGCCGAATTGTCCTTGGTCCAGTGGAGCAATGCATCAAACTGCCCCTACACAGACACTGTGCACCATCACTAGGTATTGTTTTGTCCCCCGAAGACCTCACTCCCCGCACTGTATTCTAGCATCGTTTTCTATTATTTGTATCCAGTCTATTTAAAGAAACAATTCAAAATGTACCGTACTGCAAATATTTTTTAATTAATACAAGATTTTGAAATGCAATAGTGGGAAAAAAAAAACACTGTACTGTATGTATTCGTGCTTCTGAAGGGAGTGTTTGCCCTCTACTAAATACTCTGTACTGTAGTTAAACTGCTCTCTTCTCATTCTACTGTCTGTCCCACTGGTGGGTTGGACAGGATTTGCTCAACAAAAGGCGGTCAACCATATAGCGTATCTGGAATGAGCAGGCTTAAATCCCTTCATATAGACGACAGTGGGAGCAGACCAGCAGCGCCACTGTAGACCGTCACAGCACACCAGAGCACGGCTTAGCCATTTTGAGGCGTTCAAAGTGTTCAGATGAAGTCAGGTCAAAGGTCACCGAATGGCGTTTTCAGCTAAGCTAAATTATTTGGTTATATTTTTGACTGGCGAACAGCTGTGAGAGACTCACATTTAAAAGAAAACGTTCCTTTGTGGAGAATTTTAATTCACATGTTTTGTACTTGGTGTCCCTCCATCTTATCCACACGCCTACATCCCATTTTTTTTAAAAGGAAAAGGAAAGTTGTTCAGTGCTTCCATGTCACTTCAAGGAGACTTGAATTGAATTAAGGCAGGAATTTCCGGCTGGAATCATCAGACTGACCGTTGCGGGACGAGCCGCTATCGATCTTGGTTCGAGATAGGGCTGCAAAAGATATTAAAAATCAGGCACGATATACTCATTGAATTAGAAAAGGAGCGAGTACAAGATGTTAGTTTAACAGTTCGGTTTGATTTGTGTGAGGTATTTAGTTTCTGTGGCTGAGTTTGGCAAAAGGTTTCACTCAAAGAAATGAAAGTGTCTCCTGAAAATGAGGCCCATGTCACTTCTTTTTTCTGTTTTTTTTTCAGACTACACTATACTGCTGATCATTCCAATCGTACTCAGTTCTTTTATTGCGATTCGTTTGTAAAAGCCGCATGGCTACGCTCAGGCTCGGATAGATGGATATTGATACCTGGCTCCGTGTAAGCCATCTTAAGCTGATGTGGCTTCTCTTCCGTTAAGTGATGAAATGTTGCTGTTAGAGAAAGCAGCGCTGAATGAAGAGCAGACTGAGTGGCGAGTCACTAGATGAATGGCTTCACTTACAGCCAACAGAGTAATGCTTAGTCATGATCTATCAGTACCCACGTGCCTCCCCTTTTTCGGTTCACGCTTCTTTTCTCCTCATCTCTGTCCTCTGCCACTTTTTGCCCTGCCCTCTTTGAACACTTTTTTTTTAATTCGTGTTGGGTTTATTTTCCCATTTCTGCACAGATAAGAGCATAGAAATTGCATCAATAGTCATTATTTTCCCCCAATTCTGTTTTAAACGTGATGTTTACTTTCTAAGAATGAAAGTGTTGTAAGCACAGAAAAGTTGTCCCTAGTTCAGATGGCCTTGTAATATGGTTTCAGCAAGCTGGCAAAAAAAGACTAATAGCCCTTCTAAAACTTTATATTCAGATCCTTACATAATCTATTAGTGACCCATAAGAATAGATAAGGAAAACAGACGCGAAGACGAACTTTTAACAACAAAAATGTATATCACGCGTCCCGTGGTCAGGTCGGACGCGCGTGCCGATTTTAGGCCCGATTGAAGAAAAAGTTTTATGGAAAAACTGAGACACGCAGACTCATTGCCATCGACTTGGGCATCACAGAGACAACAGTGTCTGCACTTAAGCTCTGGGAGGGGGCAGGTCACGATAAGCATCACGTCAGAGCTGCCTGTGAGCACAGGAAATGACATTAGCTTTGTTGCCTGTCCAAGGCACATGCACAAGTGACCCCTTTCTCCCCAGGTTGCCATAGAGATGCAGCTCATCTCCACACTGAGCAACTGGAGACAAGCAAAGCTTAAGTCTGGCTGCTAAGTTGTTACACTAAAATGGACTTTCTCCTTCCCAAAACAGATAATAATGATAACAAATATATAGATACAGATATTTCCAACCTTTAAATCCTTTAAAGTGTTTAATTTTACCACAATGCATTTGCAGTTTACAATCAAGGATGATATCTTCTGCTGAGCTGGAAGAAAGAAGACAGGATATTTGTCTAAACAAAATAAAAAACATTATGTTAAAACATCAATGTCAACATTTACAGAAGATGAATAATTGTTTGTTTTTTGGTTATTGCTGTTGGAATTGGTTTCTGTTAGTTCATTTTTTAATTGGACTTTCTCACGGAATCCATTTAAATGACTATTTGTTTTGTTCACTGACCAAAGGTGGTCAGCAGCAGTCGGTGGCATCACCATTGTCTTGAGAGCACATGCTGATGTAATGTTCACTCTGACAGGAATAAACTCCTGTCAACTCCTGCTTTTCTCTATCACTGCTGTGATGTTCGGTTGGATTTACTAGATTAACGGACTGTCCCGCACCGTTTGGACACTGAAACTTTTGCACTTTCTGTGACCTATCCGGGCCAGCGTAAGCAAGTTCCTGTCAGACCAAAATGCAATACTGTAACACTGAGAACGGGCCGGGACATAAAGAGGAAGAGGAAGGTCACTGCTGACTGAACCAGCAATCTGAGGCTCAGATCTAGTGTCTGCACCTCCCCCAACACTCAGTGCCTCCACTCAAATAAAAGAAACTTTTCCAAATATTTCCCCGCTCAGGGTCTGCACCATGATGACAAAAACAACATGTGCACGCCCAAAGACACTGCTTTCCCTCTTTGGCATTGTTTTTACTTTTAATGCAAAACAAGCTTTTTCAGTTCAGTCACTGTTAGGTAAGAATGGGTTTGCTGGAAAAATTTGCATAAACAGTCTAATCTGTTACTGGTAAGAAAAGCTTTTGACATGAAGCCCTCATGAAATCCACAGTTTCTTAATTCTACACTCAATATTTTTACATAAAAAAACTATCCATCCATCCATCCATTTTCTGAACCGCGTTTTTCAAAATGGGTTTGGGGCGGGACTGGAGCCTATCCCACTGTGCTGCCCATCATAAAAAAACAAACATATTAATTTTAAAAAATGACCAGAGAGCTTTAAACATTATCCTCAAATGGAGGAACATGAAGACTGTAAAATACAAACATTACAGCAGACATACATATATTTTTAATGTATTGCTGATTTTTTCCTTTAAGAAGGGGGAATAGAATCTTGTCAGTTACCCAACAGATGTGCACATCATCTTATAAATCAAAGGTTATATGCATCTTTATATTATAGTTACATCTCATAGAAGTTTTCTGAGTCACACCAGTGGGAAAAAATGAAAAGAATTACAGACTGGACCAGAAGATTGAGCTGTAGACGTTTTCCGTTCGTTTAACCTTTGCGCCAGAGAAACACACCCTATGAGACGCCTATTTCTTTTCATCAACCCAATTTCTCTCTGTATCTTGGGCAACTAAGGGTGAAATCACTCTGCAGCAGTAAACGTAGTTTTCTAGCCGAGTGAACACAGATTGAGAGCAGACATTTGCAACGCGCCCTGCCTGCAGTGTCCTGCTGGCTGTCGTATTGTGAACCGTGATAACAAAACGTTTCTGGGAAGATTTCCTTGTTCACAATCACAGTATTGGAGCCTATTTCACGTCCAGTGATCACTGCAGTTGACTATGATATTAAGCTTTTTAATAGTGATGCATAGGGGGATGCACTTAGTGTGCTGGAAGCCAAAGAGGATGATGTCTTTCTAAAAAAGATTAGGAGAAACGGAAATTCTCAAACATCGTTCCAGAATATTGGCGGTTTATGAGGTTTACAACTGAGAGAGCAAATTGATACACTTGCATGTTTGGCATCTATAATGCATGTCAAAATAAGTCTAAAAAAAAAACAAATGGATCCCCAAACTTCCACTCCCCTCGTCCTCGCTGTCATTTGGATGTAACTGGGAGTGTTTGCAGCATAGTGCAGGCTGGTTCAGGCCAGCCAGGCCTTCCCTCTCGATTGATATTTGCGTTGACTTGGTTGCAACAGTAAGTAGATTAAGGGAGCAGTGATTGAGGGCAAATCAATTACAGTAGCTCAGAGGTCTGTGTTTGGGCGGGGGGTTTACTGTAGCATTATTTTACTTTGTGCCAAGCACACAACCACAATTACCCAACCCACTGTTCTAATGGGAACCGCCGGAACCAAAGAGCAGGTTCATATGTCTTCTATGCTTTTGTCTATGCGTTTTTCATTTCCCAAAAGCATGAATTTGATGAATAAACATTGATCTCTCCAGGCTGCGTCTTAGGCTGCGTGTTGGGAATATTGCAGAGACACTTTTTGTGTTTTGTGCCACTGATTTGTGAAGTTCCACATTGTTCCACATTGGGCTTAAAGAGTTTTGGTCCCAGACTTTCTCGCCATATCCCACTATAATTCTCATAAAATGTTAGCAAAAGTCCAGGACACTGCTTCATTGTATTCAAAACCCCGCACCTAATTTCCAGCTACTCCGTTGACATGTTTGCTGTGTGCCTGTGTGAGAACACGTTCTTTGGCCGGGGCTGATGTGTGTGATGCTCGTCCTCTCTCCACCTCCCCTCATTCGCCCAGCTGCAGACTCCGTCATTTATCCTCCTCTTCCCTCACTTGTTGGATGTCTCATTTTGAATGTAAGCGATTACAAGCTCCCCCTTTTTTGTGTGTGACTCTCTTGGAGTCTTGCAAAGATTACCGCTGCGCGTGTCGTTTTGACGGGTGACGTGCGCGTAAAAGGCGCTCGTCGCCGGGTGGCAGTCACCGTCCAGTAACTCGTTTGGTTTGAGCTACGGTTCTTGCACTATGTTTCTCTTTCTCTGGTCGTCTCCACGGCCCTTAGTCTGACCTCTCGTGTGCTGATCCCCACGGCGGTAGCGTTTGTTTTTTTTGTTTTTTTGTTTTTCCTGGCGACGTCGTGCGCCCTTGGACTCCGGCTCATCCTTGGAGAAGTTCCGCCGCAGTCCCATGCACAGCGCTCCCCGGCCGTCCTGCTGCCGCGATAAGGATGCTGGAAGCCTTTCCACGGGATTAACACGAGACGCACTATCGGACAATGTAACCAAACCAGGTATGTGCAGCAATAAGAACGGGGGTGGGGGTCAGGTAAGACTTTGCGAAAGGAACACAGCGTTTCTCAGATATCACATAGATCATATTTGTTGGAGAAAAAAAAGTGCCCACCCTTTCGGATATAGTGACGAAATCTTCTCATTCCACGTTCGCCTCGGTGCGTAACGTGAATGGTGTCTTGCGCTTTTTGCTGTTGCTGCGATCTTCTGTTGGAATAGAATTGTGGAAAGACTACATCCCTTCTAGAGGGTTATGTCAGGCAGACCCTGAAACTCGTGGCACAATTCAAAGAAAAGAGAAAGAGCCCAAAGTGAAGGTCCAGTGAGTTTAAACAAAGGAGCCACACTTCTGGGGTTAAAGCTTCTGAATTGACTGGTGCTACTTCTGTTGCAGTTTAAAATGATGAAAACCAAAACTGAACTGCTATCCACCAGTTGTGTCATTGGTTATACAAACGATCTCCTTCACCATAGATACAAGAAACTGTCAGTTTATGTCTCATCAACCTGTTTTTTTTCTCTTTTAGTCAAAATCTGTTCAGAAAATTGGATTAAACTTGACTAAATCACTTCCACATATAAGATTGCTGGTGCATCCGTTTTTCCTGAAATGATGGACATGACCAAAATGTACCAAAAAAATGTGGAACAGCTTAGCCTGATACGTAAGTTCTTTTAAAATATCAGGAGAATGAGGTTCTGAACATTCTTGTTAAAAAATGCACGGACATCCTGAAAATGATGCATTGAAAGCTGCCAATGTTTCTCTGGATATATTGTACAATAATAATACTGCTATTAATAAGTGTAAACAGCATTGTGCCACGACAGAGAATGGTTCCCAGACTTGTTGCTTATTTCAGTCTGTTTTGTCTTTTTCATCTTTGGTTTGGAGCACATCTAGAATACCAATTGGTAGGATCTATTTCACCTGTTGAAACTGTACAATCATCCATCTCAGATACCACCAATCCCAGAGAAACCAGTGCCCCATCTGACTAACATTAACAAAAGGCTTAGGCTGAATATCCCTGCCTTTTGGTGCTTAACAAAGATTCCCTGCAGGTGCCCAATGGACAGGCTCTTTAATTGATGGGGATTTCAGTTCAGTTACTAATTAGTGATTACAGATTTCATCATTTCGTTGCATTGAAAACTTTAATGACTCACATGATTGAAATGAGCCTTTGCACTATTATGACTTACAGAGTCATTATGATTTAGTCCTTTAATGTTGACATAAAAATAATGTGGCACGGAACCAGATATTCAGCAGTGCCTTGTCCATGTGGTTGCATCAGCTATGGATGAATGTCAGCTGTTTGGAGGATGAAATATGAGTTGTTTTAGGACATTACACTGTATGCAGAGTCTTTCTTTGAAGGATGCCATTCTAAAAAAAGTTTATGTGGTTTTTTCTCCCACATTTGTCGAAAGAATCTGGACCCCTGCACATTTTGGTTCATAGAAAATTTGGTGGATACTATTTATACGCAAAAACATGAATACACTCAACTACTGACATCATCTTAAAAGGAATTGAATATATGAAAAGACAACTTGGTTCATGAGACAAAACATGGAACCCATTGCAGTTATACTGCAATGTCAGAAAAATATAGGAAGTTGTGAATCCCATTTTTCCGATTTGAAGCAAAAAGAAATCCTCATGTTGAACTTCTGTCTTGGTTTACTGCACATTTTGTGCACATGGCGGGCGGGTAAACTACAGCCGGGGAAGATCATTGATCTCCCACCCTCTAGCAGCAGGTTCTGCACCGCTGTGACCCATTTCTCTTGCGAGGAGGCTAGAAAATACAGCCTGACTAAATAGCTGCGGAGCAACCCCAGTGTATCCTGC